GAGTCAGGTTGCAGCTGAGCAAGGCAGGAAATGCTCCAGAGTTCTCAGGCCTGAGTCTGAGTTCAAATTCTCCTTCTCTCCCCTGCCCTCCCAGGGATCCCTCATTGGAGGCTCAAGGATCTAGCGCTGAGAGGGCCCTCAGAGTTCCTGTAATCCAGCACTTAAACTGTGGGTTGTGACCCCATATGGGGGCATGAAAAATTTGCCAAAAGTAAAAGGTTTCTAAACATGCAATGACCAAAGATTAATTAAAAGTCAAATGGGTAACAAATTGGAGGTATTTCTGGCAACACTTGCCTATGTTGCATCACACAACTTCACTGCAGCCTTGGTTGTGAACGCAAAAGCGTGCTTGCACTGCACATGCCCTCAGGCCAAGGAACGCTGCTGAAATGTGTAAAGGGGTCTCCAGCAGAAAAAGTTTAAGAAGCCTGGTGTAACGTTCTCATTTTACAGATGAGAGAAGAGTAAGAAGTAACTTGCTCAAGGATATTGAAGTGGGTGGGATTTGAACCTCTGACTCCAGAGCAGGGTACTCTTTTCACTTGTCTCCTTGGAGGAAGATGGAAGGAGGGAGACATAGTCAGTATCTCAGAGCAGGAGGATTCCTGCCAGAAATGACGTGTGGAAATGCTTTGTTATCTTATTCCTCTGGGGGCAGGAAAACATCATGGGAGGCAGGGACATCATGGCCCTGGGATGGGATGATGGATCAATCAAAGGCTAGGTCCACACCCCTCCCCTGCAATTCCCCAGAATGGCCAAGCTTAAACCTTCTGTGTACCTAATAAAGCAAACAAATGGCTTATTCTTTTTTAAATTTTTTATTTATTTTTTATTTTGGTGAGGCAATTGGGGTTAAGTGACTTGCTCAGAGGCACACAGCTAGTGAGTATTATGTGTTTGAGGCTCGATTTGAACTCAGGTCCTCCTGACTCCAGGGCAGGTACTCTATCCACTGCATCCCGTAGCTGCCCTATAAATGGCTTATTCTAAGCTTAACAATCATCAATAAAAGCAAATAATCAAATACAAAACCAGGAAAAAAATCATGCCTCAAAAAATAAATTCTGTCATTTATAGCCTTTTTTTTTTTTAAAGAGTGGCAGTGTGGTAGAGAATTTGCCTGAAGACCTGGGTTCTAATCCTACCTCTGACATATATTGACTGTGTGACCATAGACAAGTCATTTAATTTAGGATGCTGACTGTTCCTGCCCTATATCAACTAAATCACAGGACTAGTCCCCATCCTTAAAAAAAAAAGTGTTTGTTAATTTCAATATCTTTTTGGCATTTATTTTTTAAAAAAATTTTTATTGATATATTTTTATATTACATTTACTGATTCTCCACCCCACTCCTTCTTTGTGGGAAGTCTCTTATAACAAAATAAAATAATTATGCAAAATTAACAATATAATGATCCTATTTTAAAGTGCATGCAACATGCCACATAGGTAGCACTTACCTCTATTTTTCATTTTCTTTCCCCCTCCACTTAATAGCATTTTATCTTTTCCAATTACATGTAAAGATAGTGTTCAACATTCATTTTTATAAGATTTCGAGCTCCAAATTTTTCTTCCCCCCTCCTTCTCTCTCCGCCCCCCCCAAGGCAGCAAACAATCTAATATAGGTTATACATATACAATCATGTTAAACATATTTCCACATTAGTCATGTTGTAAAAGAAGAATCAGAACAAAAGGGAAAACCACAAGAATGAAAACCCACAAAAAAACCCACAAAAAAGTTAAAATAATATGCTTCAATCTGCATTCAGTCTCCATAGTTCTTTCTCTGGATGTGGATAGCATTTTCCATCAGGAGTCTTTTGGAATTGTCTTAGGTCATATTGCTGAGAACAGCTAAGTCTGTCATAGCTGATCATCACGCAATGTTGCTATTACTGTGTTCAATGTTCTCCTGGTTCTGCTCACTTCACTCAGGATCAGTGCACGTAAGTGTCAGAAATCTATTTTCTCTCTCTCTCCCACACCCCACTCCACTGGGGGGACAAAAGACAAAAGAAAAACAAATCCATTGTAATAAATATGCATTAGCAAGCAACACAAATTCCCTCATTGGTGTTTACTTTTTAACTCTTAAAAATTCTTTACGTTTTGGTGGTGCCGCTGGTTGAGAGGTAGTGTGATATAACGAATAGGGAGCTGGCCTTGGTGTCTGGGAAAACTGGGTTTAAGTCATACCTCTGACACATACTAGCTGTGAGATCCTTGGCAAATGTCTCAGAGCTCCTGGCAACTGGATTAAGTTACAGAGAGGTTGCCATCTGCACCAGAGGGGGCGAAGGTTCCTTACCAAGCTATTTCTACACCTAAGAAAACAGGTCTGGGCCAAAAGAAAAACCATTATCATTGTTATGAATATTACTATAATTAGATGACTAATAACGCTAAAGTCAGTCTGCATACTGCTTGCATTCTGCCTTCTTTATTTTATGGCATTTAGTACCTCTTCCTATATCTCACTGTATTATTCATATTCTGTGGTGTGTTTTCCAGTGGGGGAGCAGGGAGTGGGGTGGGGGTAGGGCTGGGCTTTGGCTATGGCTGGGCTTTGAGCCAGACATATGAATTTGTTTGTAAATACTGTAGTCCATTACCCATCTGAAAACTGCAAATAGCATTGTGGCAAGCTTGCCTGGGCTCAGATTCTCTCCATCTCTCCTCCTTCTGCTTTGTTTCTTTTTGCCTTTTCCCTTGTGTTTCTGCTACTCTTTATCCCTGTCAGGCACTGTCTTTGACCAAGCCTTAACTTGGCCCATCAAGGAGTGGGAAGAGTGGGACAGGGAAGAAATGGATGGAAGGGGCCTCCCTTCTCTGAGATGAGCTTCTTGCTCAGAATCTTTGGGAGAGGGCTAGGTGGGGCATCAGGATAGGTTGGATTTGTCTCTGAGAGAGGGGTCTTGGTATGGAAGGAGTCTGATGTCATGGCCATTGTGGGACAACCGAGGCTTGACTATCGATGATTAAAAATATTTTATTTTCAGTGAACAAAATTTGTTTCCTTTCCCCATTCCATCTTTCACTGAAAAGAAAGAAGGAAAAATGAAATTCTTGTAAATGTGTTTATAGTTGAACAGAACAAATGCCTGACTGGTTATGTCCAAAAACCACGTCTCATTCTGCTCCCTGGGTCCATCACCTCTAAGTCATTGACTATTGATGACTGCAGATCTTCTCTCCTTTCCACCTTGAAAAGCACTGTGCTGTTAACTTATCTTTTTTTGTTCCTTCCATGTGATTTTATTTGTTGCAGGGAACTCCTGGTGTGGAAACCCCCTCCACCAATGCAAATCAGCAAACTTGTCTGGTCTCAGAGTTTCCTGGGGAATTGAGAAATTCAATGACTTGCTGTGGCCACGTGGCTAGTAAAGGTCTGAGATATGACTTGCACCCCGGCTCTTCCTGCATCCAAGATTGCCGACCTCTCTATCCACCACCCAGGCTTGCTTTTGCCTCTCAGTCTCTCAGGCTGTAGTTGTCTGTGTATAATGTAGCCACCCTAATAGGCTGTGATTTCCATGAAAGCAGGGACTACGTCTTTGTTTATCTCTGTGTCCCTGGGCTTTAGGTGATGCTGAAGAAGACATAATTACTGCCTTCAGAGATTTTAGGGTTTAGGTAGGAAGATGACATCTATCCACACATGAATGAAGAATAATTAAATGCTTAACTGTCATATAGCCTGAAAGTACTGGGAGGAGTTCATTGAGGGGTTAGATTAGTCTAGACTTCTGTGATCAAAGAAGGATGTAAAACTTGATTTGGGTTTTGAAAGGTGAGTAGGATTTAGATGAATATAGGAGAAGGGAGCACATATCAGCTTGTGGGTTGGTGGGCAGAACTGTCTTACTACTAGCTAACATTTATATAGTGCTTGGTGTGTGCAAGGCACTGTACTGAGCACTTTACAATTATTAACTCATTTGATGCTCACAACAACCCTGGAAGGTGGGTGCTTTACTCACTTTACAGTTGAGGAAACCAGGGAAAGCAGAGGCTAAGTGACTTACTCAGGGTTGTATAGCTAATGTGTGTGATGCTGGATTTGAACTCAGGTCTTCCTGATTACAGACCTGGTGCCATACCTTCTATACCACTAGCAGAAAGTACCTGCAGGAGAATAATAGAAAATAAGGTTGGATCAGCATGGAGGGGTCATATTATGGAGGACCTTGAATGACAGTAGTGTAGGAGACAAGAGGGAGCTATTACAGGTTTTAGAGCAAAGGAGTGACATCATATAAGAAGAAACTAAAGAAGATTATTCTGGCATTGGTGTACAGGATGAGAACGATGGGAAGGGAAAAAATAAAGGTAGGGAAGAAGTTGTTGTAATAGTCTAGGAATGAGGAGATGAAGTCTGGACAAACGCAGTGACTGGGCATGGAACAGGGCTGAATTAAAGACACATTTGGAATGATATATTGGCAGGACTTGGTTGCTAGCTAAATATAAATAGTAATGGAAAGAGAAGTCAAGAGATGACTCCAAGGTTTTGATAGACATGGGTGGAGGAGGCAAGGTAGTGCTGTAAGAATCAAGATAGAGGGTTTAAAAAATTAATTGGTATCTTTTGTTTTTACATCACCTTCATTTCTGAAAGTTCTCTCCCTCCACATCCAATGAACCATGCCTTGTAACAAAAAAAGGAAAGATTTTAAAAAGTAATTCAACAAAACTAACTACCCGATCAACTGAGTCTGACAGTGCTTCCAGAATTCCACACCCATAGTCCCCCACCTCTGCAAAGAACTGCACTTTTGTATGATTAAGGGAGAATTTTGAGAAAGGAGTGATCGATGGTGTCAAATATAGCAAAGAAATCATGGCAAGTATAGAGAAGACCATCAGAGAACAAGTATCATTAAAGGGCAGGAAGGAGGGGTGGTGAAGGCCAAGGTCCTCTCCCATGCTGTCCTACTTTCATGGAGTTGGGAAGGGTCTAACCTCAGTCCTTTGTGTCTTGCAGGCTGTTTGAGGAGCCAGAGGCCAGTGAGTGCCAGGAGGATGCAGAGTCATTCCCCTATAAGGACATCCGGGATGGTTTTAGCTCTACTTTTGAAAAGATTGTGGAGTCGGAGCTGATGAAAGGGACTTACTACAGCAGCCTGGACTCCTTGGACGTGCTGAGCCTCACTGATGAGACCGACAGCTGTGTCAGCTTGGAGGTGCCCCTCACCCCACTCATTCAACAGCGAGTCAAGGAGAGCCCAGAGCCGACTGAGGTCCGGCCAGAGGACAGGGATGGGCAAGACGGGGCCGAGGCAGGGTTGGTAGATGGGGACTTTGGCAGTCCCCTGAGACACTCCATTACCAGCAGCCGATCAGAAAATGTCCTGAGCCGACTCTCTCTGAAGGTTGTTCCCAATGGCTACCATGCTCCCACCACCCAGGACACAGAAGAAGAGGAAGAGGAGGAGGAAGATGACACAACCAAACTAATTAATTCTGTCAGGTGAGGCAGAAGAGACCACACACCACCTCACCACCCTTGGGCGCTAGTTGGCACCTCAGTATTCGTGAAATTAATCCTCTTTGGCCATAGGCAATTAAGGCCCAAGAGCAAAGTCTTGGATTACTTCCCACTGATTTGCTCTGTGATCCTGGGCAGCTATCTTGACCGTTCTGGGTCTTGGTTTTCCTTATTGGACCTGTGGCAAAGAAAGCCAGAAGACAGGGGTTCAATCTTACTGCACCACTGCAGGCTTTCTGAGGGGATGTGGCAGGCGTGGGAATGATGTTGGACTGGGTCTATTGCTCCTAGGAGGTATGTGAAATTTCAGGGACACAGCTGAGTCCCTTGCTGTCCTTGAGGATGTGGGGAAGGAGAACAGGGCAGGACAAAAATAAGGCCCCGTCTTTGAGGGAGGGAAGTTCTAACTACACGCAGAATCCAATACTGCATGCAGGGCTCTCAAGCCCCTTCCAAACCATGTTCTGTAGAAATGTCAAATCCTCAGTCTTTCCTTTATTAAATGCTGCTAGGTTGGCAAAGTCTGTAGGGTATTCCAGGTAACAAGATGCTCCCAAGGTCATTTTGCTTCCTTGCTTCCAGAAATGACTTTTCTTCCTACCCCTCAACTATCCTCCCAACTGCTGAGGGTCCATTTGGTTCTCAAAGATCTTCAGAGAAAGGGCCCTATATTTAGAGGCAGAGGGCTTAAGTCTGAACCTCAGCTCCAGTGCTTGCTACCTATATGACCTTACACAGGCCACTTCATTTTTTCTGGCCTCCATTTTCCTTACCTTTAATATTAAATGATCGGTCCATGATCCCTTCCAGTTCTATAAAGGTCTCTGATCCCATGAGCTTCCATGATAGGAGAAGGGAGAACTATCTAGTGGTCTTGACAATTTTACCCAAGGTCTTATTCTTCCATTGAAGTTTCAGTTCATTTTTTTTGGTTCTGCTCCACAAATGTTATTTTAAAGGTCTGTTCCCAAGCTTCAACCCTTCTCAACCCTTTTGAGACAACTCCATACCCTTGGCTATACTTATATTGCTCTTATTTCTACCCCAGTGACCCAAGCTTGAAGGATGCATTGTCAGACTCTGATTCTGACCTGGGCAGCATGGAGCAGCTGGACCATGGGAGTACTGACACATTGGCCAATGGATGCCAGGCAGTCAATGAGGCAGCTAAGAGGTTAGCCCGGCGCCTCTATCACCTGGAGGGTTTCAAGCGCTGTGACATCGCCCGCCAACTCAGTAAGAAGTGAGTGCCCCCTCCTTTGCTCCTTCCCATCTCTAATGCTTACTATCTCTATGACCTTGGGCACTTAAACTTCCTTGGGTCTCAGTTTCCTTGAACTAGTTGGCTTCTAATAGCCTTTCTAGCTCAAGGTCTATTCCAATGCCCTTTCCTCCAGCCTACTACGGCAGACATTCCTTTCCTCCTTCTTGCCATTGTTTATTGAGAAGAGCACTGGCGGCAGCTAGGTGGCACCAGCCCTGGATTCAGGAGGACCTGAGTTCAAATCCGGCCTCAGACACATAACACTTACCAGCTGTATGACCTTGGGCAAGTCACCATTGTCTAGCCAAAAAAAAAAAGAGCACTAGATTTGGAGTAAGCTACCACCTGGGTTCTAGTTCACACTCTGCTACAAAGACACCATGGGGAATTTTGGCAAGTTACTTCCCATCTAAAGGCCACAGTTTACTTATCTGTTAAATGGAAGTAATGATATTTGCCCCACCTACCTCATAGGATCACAGATCATCAGAGCCAAGAGAATCTTCCGTAGAGGAAGTGACTTGTACAAGGTTACTCCTGACTCTTAATTCTGGGCCTCTGACATTTTTGGATTGAGTATCAGGATGGTTGGGAGTCCGATGAAATAAGTCAGTCAATATGTCTTTATTAAGCTCCTACTGTGTGCCAGATACTGCTCTAAGCACTGGGGGTGCAAAGAAAGTCAAAAGATACTCCCTGTCTTCAAGGAGTTTACAATCTAGTGAACATGCAAACAACAATGTACAGACAAGAAATATACAGGATAAATTGAAGATAATCAATAGAGGCAGACATTAAAGGGGATTAAGAAAGGCTTCTCAGGGGCAAGTAGGTGGTTCAGTGGATAGAGCACCGGGCCTGGAGTCTGGAGGACCTGAGTTCAGATGCAGCCTTAGGCCAGACACTTGACACTTACTGGCTGTGTGACCCTGGGCAAGTCACTTAACCCCAATTGCCTAAAAAAACCCCCCAAAAACAAAAAACCAAAAAACCCCCCCAAACCCTAAGCAAACCAAGAAAGGCTTCTTGGGGCGGGGGGGGGGTCACTAGGTGGTGCAGTGGATAGAGCACCTACCCTGGAGTTGGGAGGAGGACCTGAGTTCAAATCTGGCCTCAGACACATAATACACACTAGCTGTGTGACCCAGGGCAAGTCACTTAATCCCAATTGACTCACTGAAAAAAAAAAGAAAAGGAAAAAAAAGAAAGGCTTCTCATAGAAGATCGGGTTTTAGCTGGAACTTGAAGGAAGGCAGGGGAGACAGGAGGCAGAGATAAGGAAGGAAAGTGTTTTACCACTGGGGGAAAAAACAATGAAAATGCCCAGAGTCTAGAGATGAAGTGTCTTGTCCTCAGAACAGCAGGGAGGTCAGTGTCACTAGACGGTAGAGTAACTGGAGTGGGGGAAGGTATAAAAAGACTGGGAAAGAGAAGAGGGGGCTGGGTTGTGAAGGGCTTTGAATGCCAGAGGATTTTACAGGAGGTAATAGGCAGTCACTGTAACCTACTGAATTCTAGAGTGACATAGTCTTTACTTGAGGGTATTTTAGGGTGATTAATTTGACAATTGAGTAGAGGGACTGAGGCAGGTGGCCCACTCACAGACTATTGCAATGGTCCAGGTGTGAGGTGATGAGGATTTATATCAGGGTGGTGGTAGTGCTCGAGGAGATAAAGGGACATATATGAAAGAATATTATTAAAGGTGGCAGCAGCAGACTTTGGTAACAGATTGGATGGGGAGAGGAGGTGAGAAAGTGAGGTGTCAAGGATGACACCCATATTCCCAGCCTGACTGCCTAGGAGGATGGTGATGCCCGGGCCAGTAATAGGGAAGATTTTGGGGAAAAGAGAATGAGTTCAGTTTTAGACATGCTGAGTTTAAGATGACTACAGGAATTCCATTTTGAGATATCTAATAGGTGGTTAGAGATATGAGTTTTGGGGTTAGGGCTGGATAAGTCAATCTAAGAATCGTTAGCATAGATAAATGAATCCTGGGAGTTGATGAGATCACCAAGGTAAATAGTATAGAGCAGGGGTGGGGAAGAAGAAGAGGACCCAGGAGAGAGCTCTGTGGGACACTCACCATTAGCAAATGTGATCTGGATGGAAATCTAGTAAAGAAGCCTGAGAAGGAACCGTCAGACAGGTAGAACGGGAACCAGGATTGAAGAGTGTCATGGAAACCTAGAGAGAACAAGCAGAACAGGGCGATCAGTCAGCATTGTCCAGGGATGTGAATGAACTTGAGGAAGGTTCAAGCCTTCCCTTCAGAAAGCTGCCATTATCAGAGTGGCTGGGGCCCAGCACACTTTGTAAGAGACAGAAAGTTTGTGTTGGACACAGGTCCTGACTTGGGGAACTTTTAGTCTAGGGACCATGGGAGTTTAGAATAATAATGGGGCACATTCCACTGACCTCAAATGATTCTATTTCTTCTCTCCTCACCCTCCTCCCCGGATGATGTCCTTGTTCCTGCCGGTGTCCTAAATAGGTTTCCTTGCTGAGCTGTACAGGGCCATTGCTGCTGCCCCGGGGGGGGGGGGGCAGGAGTGTTTAGGAATGAGGGTAAAGGCGGTGGGGATAGACTGCTCTCAGTTGCCCTGAACCAGGCTGGAGATTTCCAAGTGCAGTGGTCATTCTCCTCTCTGTAGGTAGGTGAAGGCAGGCAGGTAAGGACAAGGCAATACCCCTGTGAGTCAATCAGGCTGGAATGTTGTGGGTTTCTCTTAAGGTTCAAGATGAAGTTCATTTTGTTTGTCTAGTCAGTCATTCACCATGGACTGAGACCTGAGCACCTAGGTAATGCATTGGATAGAGAGCTGGGCAGGGAGTCAGGAAGACCTGAGTTCAAATTCTGCCTCAGACACTTATTAGCTGTGTGATGGTGGGTAAGTCACTTAATCTCTCAGTTGAAATTTCCTCATCTGTAAAATGAAGGAGCTGGACACAATGGCCTTTAAGGTCCCTTCCAGCTTTATACCCATGATTCTAAGATCATTTTTACCAGCTCCTGTGCCTAGAATGCTCTTTTCCTTTGTCTCCACCTCCTGCCATCCCCAGCTTCCTTCAAATCCCAGCTAAAATTCCATCTTCTACAATAAGCCATTCCCAATCCCTCTTAATTCTAGTGCCATCTCTCTGTTGATTATTTCCCATATATCCTGTATATAGCTCCTTTGTACATAGCTGTTTTCATGTTGTCCCCTGCCCCATCAAATTGTAATGGCAAGAACTGCCTTTTCCCTTTATATTCCTGACACTTAGCACAGTGCCTGGCACACAGTAGGTGCTTATTAAATGCACATTGACTAGGACCAGCTGATTGTCAGTGACTACTGTGAATTGAGCTCCAATCTAGGCACTGTGTGACATCACACAGAGGAAGGAGATGTAATTGTCTATCTTCTTTTAAAGACACTGAGAGTCAGTGACGATGACACTGAAGCCGGATTCAGTTTGTCAGGTGCTTAGAATAAACTGAAACGAGATGGAACAGAGGCGGGGATAGCTACAAAGCCCTCCCAGGAGGAAGACGGAAGGGAAGCCTGGGAGAGTGCTGTGTCCAGATCTGCTTGTGCTTCTCGGCGTCTGCATCCATTGTGGTCCACGTGTGCCTAGGACTGTGTGTGTCTGTGTCCACGTGCGTATTTGGCTCTATCTATTTGCCGATGCAGCTGTTTGTGTATCCTAATATCACGGGCTCTGAGAGTCTCCAGCCCCATTTGTGTTTCTTGTGTGTGTGTCCTCGGGGAAATACACACGTAAACTCCTGAATAGCCCAAGAGGAATTTTCTCCCTCCATCCTCTGACCTCCAAACTTGGGGATCAATGGCGGTACCAGGAGCTGGGGACTTTAGTATTCCTGACCTTATGTGAAAACGTATAAGGGTCGTTGCGCCCCCTGGTGGCCAATAGAGGGAGCGCCTTTTATAAAATTTCTTTTTTGTTTTTGTTGAGCTGTATCAGGTTATGTCTGGCTCTCTGTGATCCCATTTGGGGTTTTCTTGGCAGAGGTACTAGAATGGTTTGCCATTTCCTTCTCAAGCTCATTTTACAGATGAGGAAACTGAGGCAGACAGGGTAAAGTAACTTACCCATGCAGCTAGTTAAGTATCTGAGGTCAGGTCCCATTGACTCCAGGGCCAGAGCTCTATCCACTGTACTACCTAGCTGCCCCTCATAAAATCATACTGATTAATTCCAATTCAATTCAATAAACATTTGTTAAGCATCTACGATGTTCCAAGCACTGTGCTAGGTGCTGGGGATAAAAAAGAGACAAGCCCTGGAGGAGCTTAAAATCTAGTTGAGGAGACAACACGCAAACAAATATATGCAAAGCAAGCTGTATGCAGGATAAATAGGAAATAATTAATAGAAGGAAAGCGCTAGGATTAAGAGGGATTGGGGAAGGCTTCCTGTAGAAGGTGAGATTTTAGTTGGGACTTAAAGGAAGCTGGGGAGGTCAGTAATTGGAGCAGAGGAGAGAGTATTCCAGGCATGGGAAACATCCAGAGAAAGTACCTGGGGCTGAGAGATGGAGTGTCTTGTTCATGGAACAGCCAGGATATCAGCATCACTGGACTGACGAGTACTTGTCAGGGAATAAGGTGTAAGACAACCAGAAAGGTAGGAGGGGAACTAGGTTACTAAGAGCTTTGAATGCTAAATGGAGCATTTTGTATTTGCTCCTGGAGGCAAAATCAAAACACTGGTGTGTATGACATGATCATATCATTAAATCGTGTCATGATGATCATGTGATCAATTAGGATGAGAGATTTTAGAGTGGGGAGATACCCTAGGGGTGATCTGGTTCACACCTCTCATTTGGAAGATGAGGTGGCCCCGGGGGTTTAAATGACTTTGCCCACATCCTACAGGAAGTGGGGAGCAGAGCCAGGATTCCAGTGGAAGTCTCCAGATCCAGCAGGATTCCTGTTGTATTACTTTTTTCCATAGAACTGGAAGGGAATCATAGACATCAACTCTTCTAACCCCCTCACTTTATAGAAAAGAAACCGAGGTCTGAAGAAGGAAAGTTAATCTGACCTATATTGCACGGCCAATTAATGCCAGAGCTGGCTAGAAGCAAGATCTTATGGTTCCTAATTCCAGGGCTCTTTCAAGACCCTTGATTGAATTGTGCCTGGCATTGGGGATACAAGCAGTGATGTGCTGGAGCCAACTTGTACGAGAGAGATGATTGTTAAATTTTCAGGGTGAGCATTTACTCTTCAGCAATCAGCAGATGTTACAAATCAGGCTTTGACTTGTTGTTTTGTTGATTGTCCACCAGGGGTGGGGAACCTGCAGCCTCAAGGCCACATGTGGCCCTCTAGGTCCTCAAGTGCAGCCCTTCGACCGAATCCCAACTTCACAGAACAAATCCCCTTAATAAAAGGACTTGTTCTGTAAAACTTAGACTCCGTACCCAAGGACCTAGAAGGCCACATGTGGCCTCGAGGCTGCAGGTTCCCCACCCCTTCGAGTCTAGCCTTAAGAAAGGGAAGAAGGAAACTTAAAAGGGTGATGGGTGTGAAAGTTGTTGTTTTTTAAAAATTTCTGTAGAGTCACTTGGTAAACATTTACTAATCCACTCCTGAATACAAGGAAGAATAAAATATAGTTCCTTCTATCAAATGTAGCTGGAGAGACAAGATTTACTCACACAAAACAATGAATGACACAAGATAAAATATTACCAAATGTAAGAGTGTGGGGAATAGAGTGTATTCACTGTGAGGGGAGAACTGTGGCCTGGAGTAACTCAGGGAGGCTTTCTAGAAGAGGAGGTGCTTGGGCTGGGCCTTGAAGGGTGAGCAGAGTATAGATGAGTGGAGTAAGGGTATGAGCTAAAGGAAATGGTGGAGTGAGAATGGTACAGATATCCTGCTGTCTTGATGGCCTTCAGAGCTAGCATATCAAATCATGTTCCTGGGACTGATTTTGATCTTATGACTTCTTGGCTTTGGGGGGTGTGGGGGGTACTCCAAAGGCTAGTAGGGAAGGCACTCCAACTCCTGTTTTCAAGTCCTCCTAGTAAATGGCAAGCCCATTTTGAGAAGGCTAGTCCTGCCATCTTTGCTGTCTCAATTCAACTGAATTAAACCTTTACTAAGCACCTACTGTGTGCCAGGCGCTGGGCTAGGTGCTGGACACACAAAGACAAAACCAAAATAGTCCCTGACTTCAAGGGACCTACATTCTACTCGAGGGTGGTGTCGGCAATATGCAATACAATGTGTCTCCTACCTATGTGATCCTGGGCTAGACAATTAACCTCTCTGGGCCTCAGTTTCTTAATCTGTAAAGGAGAGGGTTGGCACAGATAATTTCCAAGGTCCCTTCTAAGACCCTATTATCTTTGAACATAAATATATATATATGTATATATATATGTATGTATGTATATAGAGATATGTATGTGTGTGTGTGTGTGTGTGTGTGTATGTATATATATATATATATATATATATATATATATATATATATATATATAAACAAGGGAATGGGGAAAGATCATAAATAACTGGAAAGAGTAATTGAAGAAATTTTATGGAGTAGGTGATACCTAAAGGCGAGAATTATGAGAGAGGTAGGTGAGAAAGAAGGGTATTCTAGAGGCAGGGACCCACTTGTGTGAATGCATAGGGCAGAGAGATAGACCATCAAGTTTGGGGACTTGCTAATATGCCTGGCTTTTTAGGGGATGGGGGAAGAATGAGGATTTATATAGTGCCTATCATATTACCAGGCACTGTATATAATTACAAATATCATCTCATTTGATCCTCACAACAACCCTATAAGGTAGATACTATTATTATCGCTGTTTTACAGTTGAGGAAACTGAGGCAAAGACAGGTTAAGTGACTTGCCCAGGGTCACACAGCTAGGAAGTATCTGAGGCTGGATTTGAACTCAGGTCTTCCTGACTCCAGGCCCAGGACTCTATCTACTATGCCGTCAGCCATCTCAAGGAGTTCATGTGTGAGTGGGGGAGACAATACAGATGCTTTCAGCTACAAGTCAGATGGAAAGGCCCAGTTGTCCTTAGGATGCTGCTGCAAAGCAGATGGTAACTCATTTTCTTTAATGTTATTTCAATTGATAAAAATCATATCCATTTCTGATGTTGAATAATTTAACCATGCCAAGGACCTTGATGGTGAGAAGTGTCTTTTCTAGGCCTTCGGTAGCTGTGGCCAGGTGAAGGAGCTAATAGTGGGGAGCCATGGAGGGTTTCTGAGCAGAGAAGTGATGTGGGCAGACCTGGGCCTTAGATTATTATGTGAAAGATGAATTAGGTGGAGAGTCAGAAAGTGAAATTAATTAGGAGGTCACAATTTAGTAGTCAAAGGCAAGACGTGATGTGGGGCTAAGATAGGGGTGATAGTGGTGTTAGACAGGAATGTTCTCAAGAGGTATCATGGAAGAAGACCCCCAAACACCAGGAGTCACAGGCACCGAGGCAAAGAAAGTGTCTGAAGGAGAGGCCAACAATATTAAAAGCTGCACAGAGGGAGGATGAGGACTATGAAAAGGGCATCAGATTTAGGAGGTAAGGACCTTGTGACCTTGGAAGGGCAGGTAGGGGGTGCGGTGGATAAAGTGCCAGGCCTGCAATCTAGAAGACCTGAAATCAAATCCATCCTCAGTCACTTATTAGCTGTGTGACCCTGAGCAAGTCACTTAACCTTGTTTGCCTCAGTTTTCTCATCTGTAAAATGAGCTGGAGAAGAAAATGGCATCTTTGTCAAGAAAACCCTAAATGGGATCACGAAGAGTGGAACACGATTAAAACAACTGAACAATAACAACAACAGTGACCTTGGAGAGAGAGCAGCTTCAGTGGAGTAATGAGGCAGACGCTGAGAAGGGAGTGGGTGGTAATGAAGCAGAGGATTCTGATAATACTATTAGCAACGACAATAATAGTTGTTCTCATTTTTATATCATTCCAAGGTTTGTAAACCATCATCCATATATCTCCCTTAATTCTCACAACAGCTCTGTGAAGCAGGGGCTGTTATTATCCCCATTTTATTGATCAGGGCAGCAGGAGATACAAATTAGCTAACCACAGTTATCAGTTGCTTGGAGACCTTCTCCATTCCCAGAGCCTGTGATGATGCAGGAAAGTATTGGGGTTCTAGTTCCTTTCCAGTGCCTGAGGACTTGGGTGATTGTGGGAGGGAGGGGAAGCCAAAGATCGAGGTGCCCAGGGACTTCACACATGTGGCAGCAGCTCAGTGATTCTGTCCCAAAATGAGGCACAACTAAAAGGTACCCTCCACATGCAGCGTGTACTCGGCTCTGTGTCACGTCCCACGTCCGACGTCCGATCCTCTAGTCCTTAAGACTGTTGATGCATGAAGCCCTGGTCCTTCTGGTGCTTATTCTGGTATAGGAGGCCCAGGGTAGGCCAGTATGTGGCCCTTGCTTGAGGTTCCACGGTTTACCATTCTAGGTGTGATATCTGACACTTGGGGGCAGAATGTCTCTACTTTCAAGTCACAAACAATAAAATGCCTTGGATTCCAGGGCAAGGAAACCTCACTGGGGATCAGGGGTATGTGGATTCTGCTCCATGATCCCTTGCTCAATGACACTCAGTCAGCTTTTCAGGGAAGGCTTGGTTTTACTCTTTATTGGGTCTGAGGTTTTTGTTGTTTTAAAGTTGTGTCTAACTCTTCATGACCCTATGAACTATAGTGCCCATGGAGTTTTCTTGGCAAAGATACTGGAGTGGTTTGCCATTTCCTTCCATAGTGGATTAAGACAAACAGGCTCACATGTCTAGCAAGGGTCTGAGGCCAGATTTGAGCTGGGATCTTCCTGACTCCAGGTCCAATGCTTTATACACTGAGCCACCTAGCTGCCTCCTGAAGTTTTTTTCATCCCCTAAATCCATAGACCCCATCTTGATCCTGCCTCAGTTTCTAAAGAAACAAAGCAATGTGCTAGAGTTGGGAGCCCAATGACCCCTCTCAGGGACCCTGTCTCTCTCCCCCCACCCCCATCTCAGAACAATTTGCATCTAGAAAAAGTTACTAGGGAGTAATAATTTTTTTAAAAAAATGTTTCTTGGGCAAAAACTGTAGAGGAGGACTGCAGTGAAACAAATGTTTGCTCTGTATGTCTGGGGGCACAGGGGAAGCCAAAATTCTTGGAATCTGATAGCCGGAGGTTAGCAAGAGTTGCCTCCCACCATCTCACTGGGATTCGGAGGATAAGTGAAGTTGGATACTTCAGGCCTTCTTGAATTCACTTTCTTTCTTTCCTTCGCTGATCCCTACTTCCTTATTTCTCGTCTCTCTCCTTCTCTCTCCCCCTCATTTTCTCCTCCCCTCCATTTGCTCTCCTCTCTTTCCTTCATTTACTCTTCTCCCTCCTCTCTTTGTCTCCTCTCTGTCGCTGTCTCTCCTCCTCCTTCCCTCCCCCCTCCCCTCTGTCTGTCTGTCTCTGTCTCTCCCACCCCATCACCCTCCCTGCTGCTCTGGCCATTCCACTTGGGATGGCAAACTAGAGGCATCCTTAGCAATGGGATGTGATACCAGGGCCTGGGTAGCCAAACCCCAGGTATCCCTTCTTTTGCCCTTTCCATCTCCATTCCCTCAAAATGTGAGGGAAGAACAATAATTGGGGTGTTAGGCATTTTCCTGAGGAGATTTTCAATGAACCACTTTGGGGGAGGAGTGCTCTACCTCAGTCACTTCCAGGTATTCTGACTTCTTGGGGACGTGCTAGTCTTACCTTGCCTGACCCATTTCTTTCCTTTCTCCTCTCCTTATAGCAATGAGTTCAGCAGGCTGGTAGCGGAAGAGTATCTCAGCTTCTTTGATTTCGCAGGCCTGAGCCTGGATAGAGCACTCAGGTAAGCAAATGGCCCAGAAAGAAGTGGGGACCATGATTCCATGATGGGTCTGGCATTGACCAGTTGGATGATTTTGGATAGTGAATACCTCTCTCTGGTCCTCAGTTTCCCCATCTGTTAATGGGGAGGGGGGAGATAATGACAGCTATGGGCTCAGCCCAAGTGCCATTTCCAGAAAAAGAACCGTTTCTCCATTTGTCAGTGATTCCCTCCCCCTCCCCATTGTATATACTTTGTGTATATTTTGTGTTTATTTGTTTTCCCCCCCAGGTGAATGAAAGCCACCTGAGGGTAGGAATTGCAGGAATTGTTTTATTTTCTTTTGTATCACCTTCACCTAGCACAAAGTTGGTGTTTAAAAAGTGCTTATTGGATTGAATCAAACATATGTTTTGTCTACCTCCTCACAGCAATGTTGTGAGGTTCAAATCAGCTTCTCATCAGCAAATCCTGTGCAAGCCCAGAGGCCACAAAGAGGTTGTTCACACTTTACAGCTATCTGGGAGTGGGGGGAGGGGGAGGACTCTTGGACCTCGTAGATCTCTTGAGGCGGAGGGGAACTGAGAGAGTCTTCTAGCCCAGGGGCACAGAACCATTTTTGTATCATGCCCCACCCCTTTGGCAGGCTGGTGAAGCCTATGCACCCCTTCTCAAAACATGTTTTCAAATGCATGAAGTAAGATACACAAGATAGATTAGAAAGGAAACCAAAGGTTAGTGAAAATTAAGATGCCCTTTTCTTCCACCCAAGTTCATGTACCCCCTGAAACCTATTCACAGCCCCCTTGGGAGTCTGGGGACCCTGGGTTCTTAATCTGGAAATGGCATTTGGGCTGAGCCCTTAATAGACCCATTGTTATTATTATCTTCCCCCCTACTCGGGCAACCCCCTCATTTTACAGGTGAAGAAAAGTAAGCTTAGAGAGATTTGGGTACCCTGCCTAAGGTCACATAGATATCGGTGTCAGTGATAAGCCCTTGAATCCGGGGCTCAGTCTTGGGAGCCAGCTCCCCACCCCCTTGCAGATTTTCAGGGGCCCTGGTCACTCATTTCAGGGTCTAGAAAGGAGAGAGTTTTAAAAAGAAAGAAGATGCCTCTTTCCCTGCCTGGATCTATGGCCTGCGATGACTTGGGCAGCCAAGGTCATTGATGCCAAAGTGAATGTTTTCAAGTTGCTCCTTGATGCAAACATGAGCTGCATTAGCATCTCAGTCACCGAAAGTATAGTCAGATGGTTCTCTCTGCATTGGCTAGAACATGCCGGGAGTACTATATCTAGTTCTTGGCATCATATGTTAAATGAGACATCGATAAACTGGAGTGTCACTGAGCAATGGAACTTGAAATTCAATTTAGTTTAATTCAGTAGGCATTTACTAAGCATATATTATGTGGCAGGTACTTTACTAGACGCTGGGGATATAAAAATGGAACCATTCCTACCCTCAAGGAGTTTACATTCTACTAGAAGAAATATGCAAGTAAATATAAAATATAAGACATCCCAAAAGTCTTAGTGCAGATGTGTGCTAGTAAAACTGCCCTAATAGTTTTGGGACGTGCTGTAATAAACAAAGGAAATATACTTGTTAAACATGTTGTAGTGGGCATTCATTCCTCTTGGGTATGGATTGGTCTCGATGGCCACCGAGGTCCCTTCCAACTCTAAATTCTGTAATTCTGTGATTCCAGGAAGCAAGTGTCCTGATGGAGACATTACTAATATTGAGGGGATCAGAAAAGGCCTCATGTGGCCCTTGAACTGAGCCTTGAAGGGAGGTAGGGATTCTAAGTAGTAGTGATGAGGTCTCACAGCATGCCAGGCTTGGGGAAAAGCCTGTGCAAAGGGGTAGAGGTGGGAGATGAAGACCATGTCTTACAAAGAACTCTTAAAGCAACTGCAGAGCTTTGGCCCAGGGAGTAGAGCATACTTCTTCCAGTCTTTAAAGGGTTGTCATCCAGGAAAGAGAGAGACAGATTCTCTGTGCAAAGAACTAGGATTGGTGGGTGGGAGCCACAGGGAGTCACATTTCAGTTGAATATAAAGATGAATTTAAAAAATAATCATTTGAGCTTTCCAACAATGGAATGGACTGTCTCAAGTGGTAGAGAGCTGCCCATCACTGGAAGTATTCAAGCAGCTCACCAGGGCTCTGATCTTGGGTACTATGAAAGACAATTTGTGTATAGGGTGAGTGGTTAGACTAGAACAGAGGATCTCTAAGATTCCTTTCAATTCTGAGCTTGGAGTGACTATGACTTTAATCCCTGGACCTCGGAAGGCTAGGGAGGGGGGAGGGGAAGGACTGCCCTGCTCTTTGACTGTAGGGTGACAGAGTAACTTGCCTGGGGAGGGTATAGGTGTGGCAGTGGCCCATGAGGTTCTGAGGTCCCTTGTCTGTGGTATGTGTGCTTCCTTTCAGGACCTTTCTAAAGGCCTTTCCCCTGATGGGGGAGACTCAGGAGCGGGAGAGAGTTCTTACCCACTTCTCCAGGAGATACCGCCAATGTAACCATTGGAGAGAGCACCTCAGAAGGTATGACCATCCTGCTTGGCTGACAGAGAGCAGGTCTACTCCCATTTCTCTGTACTTGCATGGAAAAAAAGAGTATGGAGGTACCTGACTTCAAATCTTGGTTCTGACCCTTACTAGCTCTAGGACCATGGATTTAATTTCTCTGAACCTCAGTTTCCTCATCTGTGAAACAGGGAGAAAGGACACTTGTACTATCTACCTCGTAGGGTCATTTAAAGGAAGATACTAGGTAAATTTGTATAATGTGTGGGGTGATTGCTATTTTGACTAGGGGCAGCTGCCTATAGGTTAATGTTTAGGGAGCATTGAAAAAGCCCTCAAATTTTCACGCAAGTATCTTCCCTATCACAGTGCCCAGGACTGTGAGCCTTGAAGACTCTTTGGTCTTCTAGAATTTTGTATTAAAATGCACCTATCTCATAAGGAGTGTAATGTGATGAAAAAAGTTCTCTGTGGCCTGAAGAATCATCTAGAAGGGGGCAGCTAGGGGAGCAGTGGATAGGGAACCAGCCCTGAAGTCAGGAGGGCATGAGTTCAAATGTGGTCTCAGACACTGTGTGACCCTGGGCAAGTCACTTAATCCCGATTGCCTCCAAACAAACAAACAAAAAACTATCTAGGAGGAAGGACAGAAAGGAGAGGACTGCCCTCCCCCCACCCCCTGAAGGAGGTGGAGGCTCTCTGGCTCGTCCCTAGGGAATGACCCTGGACCAGTGCACAGAGGTCCTACTAAAGTGGGTCTTTCATCAAGGGGCACGAAGCAGCCATGAATGTCAACACCTGGCAAGGAACTGCCCAAAGGGGAAGCTTCTCCTTGCATGAGCTGAGCTTCCTTGGGGAGAGCATTCATTCATTCAACAAATATTTTTAAGCATTCACTATGGGCATAAGTGGGAGTATGGTATAGTTCATGAGTGTCTGCTCCAGCAGCAGTAAAATTTGAATCAAAATCCTGCCTCTGACAGACAGTAGTAGCTTAATGACCCTGGGAAAGTCACTTACTTCTCAATGCCCCAGAGAACTCCCTAAGCTTATCAGTTGCAGAGCAGGTGGCAACCTGCATTAGTGGAAGGCATTCCCTCATTTGAGAGTTCCCTATTCCAATGAAATCACAGGTCCACTTCCTATACCTTAGTTCATTCAGAGGTAGGTTCTGAAGGAAATACAAAGTTTAGATGGGCTGTGCTTATTACATTCTTATGGGGGATCTGACATGCACACAGATAACCACAAGACACAATTATAGTAGCATTCCAGAGCTACAAATGAAGTGCTATTTGAGAGCTGAAGGAGAAAGTTGTTTCTGTCTGGGGGGAATCAGGGAAGGCTTCAGGGATTAGGTGATGGAATTTGTTTTGGGTATCAGAAAGCAGACAGGAGTTCTAGAAGGGAGGACATTCTAGACATGGGGAGCATGATGAACAAAGACAAGGGGACAGAAATCTCAGAGCAAGGTCGGGGAATGGAGAATAGAGCAGCCTGACTGGAGCATGGAGTAGTATGAGAGAAGGCAAGAAAGGCTCATGTCTTAGGGTCCCTGGAGCCCCTAGGTCTGAGTTGGGGTTCCTGGCTCCATGTCTGTGGTTCTCAGGAACAGAAGTAGAGCCCCGGGCAAAGAGATTACAATCAAAATCCATACCTATAATAAGAGTAAGGGGCAGCTAAGTGGAGCAGTGGATAGAGTGCTGGGCCTGGAATCAGGAAGACCTGAGTTCAAATCCAGCCTCAAACACTTAGCTGTGTGACCCTGGGCAAGTCACAACTCTGTTTGCCTCAGTCTCCTCATCTGTCAAATAACCTGGAGAAGGAAACAGCAAACCACTCCAGTATCTTTGTCAAGAAAACCCCAAATAGGGTCAAGGAGAGTTGGATATGACTGAAATGAGTCAACAACAACAAAAAATAATAGTAATTTCATACACTTGCATCACAATGACCAGCTACAGAGAACTATTCATACCTATGACCTTTTATTGGGTGTTCTCAATGGTCCCATGAGGGAAGTCAGGGCTGGACCCTTAACTTCATTGGGATGAGGAAGCACCTTTTACCCATGCAGGTCAAGATCTTCTCTTCAGTTTATAGTAGGAGAGGGTTGTCTAGAACACTGAGAGGTTAAGTGACTTGGGAGGTGGGTGGCAGATATTATCGCCTTTTTCCAGATGAAGAGACCAAGGCCCAAAGTGGTTAAAAGACTTACCCAAGGACACAGCTAATAAGTAGACAAATCTGGGGTTGAATACAGTCCAGTATTCCTTCTCCCCAATTTTTATTAATGTCTTTGTGCTTTTTAAAAATATCACAACCATGTCCCCCAAAAACATTTCTGTGCAACTCTTCCTTGTACCGGATGTATCCTGTGACTCAGGGGGCTCAACAAGGAGATTCTGGGTTTACAGAGACCCAGATTCATCCTGGAATTGGGTCTGACCCCAACGTGCGTGTGTGTGCGTGTGTGTGTATGTGTGTGTGTGTGTGTGTGTGTGTGTGTGTGTGTGTGTGTGTGTCTGAAGCAGGCTTTTCTTTCTTTGGTTCTGCCCTCCACCGGGGAGCAATTTCAGGGAAATTGCTAAAACAAAGCTTAAGCATAGATTTATCTAGGGTCTCCCCCAAATCTGGGGAATAGGGTTCCTTGTAGAAAAGATACTCATTATGTAATATGTATAATAAGGCACTCATTGTACAATACGGATGGCAAGCAAAGACCAACAGTTTACTATTTTTTCCTGCCACACACATTGCACAAGATACAAATGCATGAATCAATACTGAAACGTAAACCATGTCAGATAGTCCATTGCGCTCGTTAACATCCCTGTGGGAGGCCAAGGCCCCGGGGGGGATGGCTGGACAGATGGTCCCCATTCCCATTCATCTGCGGGGTTGGAGCAGCCCAGCAGGTACCGGTCTCCTGCCTGGTCCTGCCTGCTTTAGTCCTTCTCCTGTGGGTGGTGCTGTTCTCCTCGGAGAAGGGCACCATGCTGCCTGTGGAAAGCTCCTCCCTCCAGTTAGCTCATGCACGGATCCCAGGCTCAGGGAAGCTTGACCGTGGCTGGATATTACCGCCTAGGCTGCGAGGGCCATTTCTCAGGATTGCTGGTTGCCAATCAGTACTCCAGGGAAGTGACAGACAGGCAGGAAGGCAGCCAGGGTCCAGCCTCGCCAATGCTCTCCCAATGCCATGTACTTAAGCCGCAAGCTGTCATTGGGGAGGGGAGAGAAATCTTCTCCATCCCCCCCATCTCACCCCACCCCCCTTCCCCTTTGCTGGAAATCCAAGGGAAAGACAGTGCCAGCAAAAAAGAGGGCACAAAAAGAGAGAATGATGAAGCTGTTTCCACTTCTCTTATGGCCTGATTGGGTCCATCCTCCTGACTCACATGAGTCCATCCTCCAGAATCCCGGTGTCCAATCATCTTTCACGCCTCCTCCCAGTCTTGGGGGTCAACCAAAAGTTGCTGTGTCATCCTGGAAAAGCACATGCCCCCTCAGCAGGAGGCCAGGAGACATGTCCAGCTCCAGGGGAGGGACCCTCATTTCAGCAAGTTAGGGGTTCCCCGATCACACAAAGAAAGGCAGTCAAGCAAAGCCAATTCAGAAACTGTTTCTATCGATGTTTTCCATATCTGGCATCGTAATTAGTCACCTGCCCTCTGGATTCAATATTGCTCTTTGAATTTATTCTAAATTCAGTGGCCTTTTTAAGGGTATAGTTTTTTTAAAACCGCCTTGTTTTAATCAGAGTATATATTGTTTCAAGTGTTCCTTCCACTATATCATGCTGTTTCTTTGCCCTGGCTGTGTCTTTATCTGTTCTGGGCATTCTTTGACCAACCTCCCATGCCCTCTGAACCCAGTGTACTGGGCTTGGGTCCTCCTAGAGGAGGGCTCCCTGGGGCTGTGTTGGTAACCAGATGTCTTGGGTAGCAGGAAAGGGAAGGGAGCCAAAGCTGAGGCTGAGGGCCACCTGCCTCTGCTGTGTTTCAGATGGGATTCACACACTTACCTGTGCCCTGATGCTGCTCAACACGGACTTGCATGGACATGTAAGTGCAGATGGGGAAGAGAAGGGAGACAAGGGAAGGGGGGGGTTGGTGGATAAAGGCAAAGGCCAGTATGCAGAACAAAGATGCAGGTCTGGACCAGCCCAGTATGGATCTCCTCTGTCTGTCCCCCTGGCCGAACTCCCTAGGAGGGCAGGTGAGCCTTGGCTAAGATACAAGTGGTTGGTGGATTCCCTTGGGGTGATGGGCATTGGCTGTCTCTCTCCTGGAGGTGTTGAGACAGAACTCCAGGAAATAGGACTGAGGGCAGGTTGGGGTATCCTCAGGGGCCAGGTTGCTGCTCATTGATTCTGAGGGGAAAAAGATGGCAGCTAGTTGTGGCCTTGCCTAAGACATCAAAAAAACCACTGAGTCTCAGGCAGGTTGGACTTTCTATTTCTTAATTAGAATGAGTGTGGGCCCAGGAAGGCCTGGGGTGGAATCTGATTTCCACCGCTAGCTAGCTGTGTGACCATATATGGGCAAACCAGGGGCTCTCTCTCTCTCAATTTTAGTCTCCTAATCTGTAAAATGGGAATAACTGTAGCTCTTATCTCACAGAATCATTATGAAGATCAAATTTGAAAATGTGTATAAAGCACTTTGTAATCCTTAAACTTAAAGTGCTATATAAATATTAGCTATTATTATTTTCTTCCCTTGTTCTCCTTTTCTTTCTCTTCTTCTGACTCATCAGATGCTATGTTTTAATGTAGTATTCCTGGTAGATAGAGCTGGGAATTGGGAGGTCTGGGCTGTTGACTTTCTGTATGATTTCAGTTACCCTTCTCTGAGACTCTGTTCTCTCTGCCTGTGAAATGGGCAGGCGTGTCTCTAATGGTCCCTGACTCTTGTCTGTGGTGAAGCTGAGTTTCTGAGGATTGATGAGACAAGCCTTATGAAAGCATTTTAACAAAAACCCAGCTGGTTCCAGTTGTGAGGTCACCCCAGAACTGGCTGGGCCTTCTTGAAGCTATGAAGCCCAAGGCTGATTTACTCACTCTTGGCTATAGCAGAGAACTTCCAGGGGCCTCTGCTGGAACTGAGATGACTCAGCTCTGCAGCTGTGGTCTCTTTCTCGTGTCTAACCGCCTGTCTTTTCTCATTTTCCTGCTGTGTGGCTCATGAGCTAAGGTGTGCATGGGCCCTCTGGGCTCCACACTGCCTGTGCACCCCGTACCTTGTCTGGACAGTGGGTGCCCTGGATGGGCAGAGCTGCCACCGTCCTGGCCCCCTTGGCAGAGCCAAGCCTCCTCATTAACTTCTCCCTCTTCTCTCTGTCTGCTCCGGGATCCCCTCTTTCCGTTATCTTGCTCTTTACAGGTGGTAAGTGTAGGTGGGGGACGTGCATGTCTCTGTGTATGCCATCATACCCTTCCTGCCTGTCTCTCCAACTATGCTTTGGGTCCAATCACTCTTTTCCTTTGTCCCCATCCATCATGGGTTCTCCTCTGTCTCCTTGGCTTTTTTGGATTTCTCATGAGCAATTTTGGTGCAAGATGTGGTGTGAAAGGTAGAGACATATGGTGTCAGTGGAAATTTGGGAGTCCCTGTGCATCTAATTTGTGCATGCTGTCTCAATCCTCCATCAGTGCCGAGGTTTGCCTTTAATGTCTCAGTCTCTCCTCTCTCTCTGAAAAGGAAACTTAAGATGAGTTGGGTTAAACTAAGTCCTGGTTAAAAAAATTCATATATATATATATATATATATATATAATGTCCTGTGTGTTGAATGAGTGTTTGGAGTTGTAGAAATAACTCTGGAATCTGGAATCAAGAGACCTGGTTTCAATGTGCCTAAGGGATTTACTGGGACAGCTAGGTGGTGCAGTGGATAGAGCACTGGGTTTGGAATCAGAAAAATTTATCTTCCTGGGTTCAAATCTGGCCTCATACACTTACTAGCTGTGGGACCCTGGGCAAGTCACTTAACCCCGTTTGCCTCAGTTTCTTCTGGTAGTAAAATGAGCTGGCGAAGGAAATGGCAAACCACTCCAGTATCTTTACCAAGAAAACCCAAATGGGGTCACAAAGAGTCAGAAATGACTGAACAGCAGTGAAAGGGATGTGACCATGGAAATAAATCCCTTCCCTTTTCCGAGTTTTCATCTGTTAAATGGGGATGATAATTCTTGCACTGCTTATCTCATATATTTTGGCGAAGGCCTTTGCAAGCCTTAATGTCTATACAGATTTTGTGTTATTATTATAAGTGCACATATGCTAAGTCTACCATCAGTGTAATCTGTTTGCTTCTATATTCATTTGGTTACATACTGCATCTGTCCTCATTAGGAGCTGGTAGCACATCAAAGAGGTGTTAAAACGCCATCACCTTTAGTTTGGGAATAAGAACAAACTCAAAGTGCAGTCGCTTACTAAGCTCGGTAAATACCCTTCTGGTGTGCTAAGAGTCCACTAATCTCACGGATAAATTATTAGATTGAGAATAGAATGTTGTCACAAGTACTGAACTACTTACGAATTGACTTTTGTGGACATTAGCCAATTGATAAACATTCAGTGTTCCAACTAGGGCTGGAGACTTTTTCTGGGCATAGAATTTATGAAAAAGAGAGAATGAGTCTTGGGTTCTGCTGTCAGATTGGAGCCAGAGAGAGAGCTTCTCCTGCCATTGCGTTTGGATGAGAACACCTCAGCCTCAGTGATGTGAATGGGACTGAGACAGCTTCCACCCAATAGGTCCTTGAAACTCTAACCCTTTTGAAAGCCTGAAGGTTCTGGGTTAGAAAGTACCTGGGCTTGGGAGGGGATGCCAGCATTTATGATCAACTTTTAGTTATCCATCACAATGCATATACTGAGTCATTCATTTCATGCATTCAACAAACATTTATTCATTTCCTATCGTGTGTAAAATACCGTTCTAGGTACAATGATGTGGGTGAGGGACAACCTGGCATAGTGGATAGAATTTGGACTCAGGAATCAGAAAGACCTGGGTTCCAATCCTGCTTACTAGCTGTGTGACCCAAGGCAAGTCACTTAGCACTTCTTGGCCACGGCTTCCTCACCTGTAGAACAAGAATAATACTATTTGCAGTACTTGCCTCAGGGCATTATGAGGATCAAATGAAGTGAGGCATGTGCAATGCTTTGCAAATCTTCAAAGGCTATATAAATGTCAATTATTATTATTCTAAGGGAGGGGAGCAGAAACAGAAGTGAGAAAAGCTTATTTGACAGTCCCCAACCTTGACACCAGGCCCTGCCTTCCTTGATCCTCCATCCACACCACACTGGGAAGCAGATAGGGCTCTGGGGAGAATCCTGGGACCTCACCCTTCCTCTGGGAGGCTGGGTCTCTGTTTGGAGTTTTCTTTCCCTTGCGGCAAAGCCTCAGAGGCTGAACTGTGATGAGGAAGCCTCTGCCTCCCTTCCTGACCTCCAAAATGGGAGTTGGGAGTAGAGCCCAGGGAGTAATTAGAAGTCAGTCAATTATTGATTATTCACTTTACTAGAGGGGAAGCAACAGGAGGGATACTCCAAAACACCAGAAAATGCCCAAATGACTTCTCTCAGCCTTGAAAATACATTATGTATTTTTCCCCTTTCCAATTTCTCAGCTAATTTGTCTATCCTTAATCTTTTTAAAAAAATTTGACCAATATTTCAATGAGTCTAAATCTCCTAGTAATAGAGTGGGCCAGAGCCAAAGGACTTGGATTAAAATCCCACTCTCTTATGTTTATTACATAATGACCTTGGACAATTCACTTAATTTCCCTGGTTTTCAGTGTCCTCATTTGTAAAATGAGGGGCTCGGACTGGATGACCTCTGAGTTCTGGTCCAGCCCTAAATCTATGGTCTTATGACCTTTCTTTTGACCCTCGATCTTTGTCAAAGTTCTGCCCTACTTCTCGGTATTCCTTTTGCTCTCGAGTAGGAGAAGTTCCATGTTGGGAAGGAGAGGATGGAGACAGTCCCTGAACTGAGATGTACACAGTTCAAATCCCGGCTCTGAAATGACTTACTCACATGGCCTTGAGTAAATCACTTCACCCCTCGAAGTCCATTTCCTTGCCTGTAAAATGAAGGGATTGGGCTAGGTGACCTCCAAGGTCCTTTCTAACTCTAGATCTATGTATGATCTTAACCTCCCCTAGCTCAGTTTTTGGAAGAGTCATAGTAACCACAGATACTAATGGTCAGGCACATAGAAAACTGAAATCCAAGTCCCTTTACCTTTCAGATACAGCCTCTCTACTCCAAGTGCCTTCCTTCCCACAGGAAGGCAACCCTAGGTGTTCCCTCAATGGGAAGCTATATACAAGTACAGAGAACCAAATCTATGTGACTATAGACAGGGCAGGTCTCAGGTTGGGAAGCTCAAGGGCTTCATCTTCCACTTGGTGTTGGGACAAAGACCAATTATAGGTGGGGACAGAGCTCCTGAGCTCTCACCAGAGTTGCTGCAGAGCCTAGAGGTGCCATGACTCCATTTTTCCAGTTAATCCTACATCTCCTAGATGGAAACTGGCTCCTTAAGTTATTGTCAGGTGATCATCCTCCCTCTCAGAGCATGGGGAGGCAGCGCATGGAGGGCAATTCTGCAGAGTTTGCACTCTATCCAACTAAGCTGTCCCTTAGCTCCCCTCTGAGCACCCTCACTGGAAGTTATCTACGGCACAAGGGCAGGAGAGTGAGAGGAATGGGCTTAGGAAGTTGGATATGAGGCCTTTTTACCCTTTCTTTTCACCACCCTGAGGGAACTGCCTGTCTGAGCAGCCCCTTTCCTAGTCTGAGCCACCTGCTCTCTGTGTTACAGAACATCGGCAAGAAGATGTCCTGCCAGCAATTCATTGCCAACCTGGACGGGCTGAATGATGGACAGGACTTTGCCAAGGATCTGCTGAAGGTACTTCTTTGAAGCCCTGGCCCTGACCTCAGTATAGCAGGAACCCCACTGCCTCCTAGATGGATTCCTCTTTCCCTACTCTCCACTATCTCCCCATAGCCAGAGCTGAGATGTGCTCTGACCATTCTAATGGACATTTTAGGCATTATCTGGAAGCATGTGATAAGTCTGGGAAGAGGGAAAGGATATTAAAGAGAGGTTGAGGATTTTATTAATTGGGCATATTCCCATTCAAGTCATGAATATATTGGTTTCCCTTAGTCAGGGAAACTGCTCTGATCTAGACCACAGGTTCTTCTTTTTCTTCTTCTTTAAATCCTTTTCATTGCTAACATGCTTCATCATCATCATCATCATCATCATCATCATCATCATCATCATCATCACTGTGGGTACAGGCAACGTCCTCATTGAAATCAGTGTCATCATTATCATAATCAGATTTGCCATCACCATGGCCGTTTTTACAAGCACCAGCAAATTTATAATCATCTTGAGCTACCTGGTGAGAGTCACTGTCATCACTGTCGTCATCATCGTCTTCACCATTCTCAGCCTCTTCGCTTTCACTATCACCACCAATCATCATTATCATCACTGCCACCACCCCCATCGCTATCAGCACCACTGCCACCACTGCCATAATTACCATCATCACCATCACTGTCACGTCACCAGCCATCATCCTCATCATCCCCACCATTATTACCATGATCACCATCACTATCACCATTGTCGACATCATCACCGCCCACCAGATCTATATATCCAGTGCTAGTCTCTTTCCTGAGTTTCAAGTTCCACGTGACCACTGGATATCTTCCTTTGGATGTTCTGTGGGTATCTTAAAGTCAACTTGTTTGAAATGGAACTCACCATCTATCCCATCTTTCCCACTCCTCTTTCTAACTTCTCTACCTTTGTTGAGGGTACTACCATCCTTCTAGTTACCCAGGTTTTCAGCACTGGAGTCATCCTCTTCCTTCCATCCCCATATACAGTTTCCTGCTCTCATGGATTCTAAATTTTGTGAATTCTCCACAACATCTTGAATTCATCCCCTTGTTTTCACTGATGAAACCACAGGCTAGTTCAGGCCTGTTGATCAGTTCTCACCTGAACACAAAATAGCATCCCCCCCCAACTCGTCCTGCCTCTTTCTTCTACAATCTCTCCTACATTAGCTAAGAGGTATTCCTGAAGTGCCATCCCTACTTAACAAGTTCCCCCCTTTTTGCCTCCAGGACAAAATACAGACTTCTATTTGGCTTTTAACACCTTCCACAACCTGGTTTCAAAACCTGTCTTTTGAGAGTGATTTCACATTTATCCCCCTCACATTCTCAGGAACTTCAGCCAAACTGGCCCCATTGCTGTTTCCTTGCATGCCCATCAATCAGTCTCCCGTTTCCAGATTCCAGTATCACTTTGCACAGATTATCACCCAATCCCCACCTCCCAAATGTCTTTGAACAGTGGTTTCAAACTCAGACAGAAAGTCTGGCCACATGTTGACTTAGAAAACCACAAATTAACATTATCTATATCGTATCTGTATTTATTTCATGAAACATTTTTTCTAATTGTAATCTGGTTCAGCTGCACTCCCAAGCTACTGGTAGCTGTGAATTTGATGGTCCTTCAAGGCTCCATTTAAATGCCACCTCTAAGAAGCCTTTCCTGATCCCCCCAGTTGCTAGAGCTCTGAGCCCCACTGAAATAACATGACATTTAGTTTGGATAGATTTTCTATTTACTTACCTTTGTGCCTATTGTTTCCCCCAGTACAATATGGGCCCCTTGAGAGCAGGGACATTTTAATTTTTGCCTTTATACCCCCAGGACCTAGCACAGTGACTGGCACATAGTAGGTACTTAATATATATTAACTTAAATCACCAACCATCACTGAAATCCATTGTCACCATCACTCTCACCATTATCCCCATTTCCATCATCCCCATCACTATTATCACCATTATGGCTAGCAACATCACCACTACGATCATCATTCTCATAATCACCATAAGCCATCATGGCCACCACCAAAAAACACGTATATTTGTTGATTTAGTACCGAATGAGATCCAATATCCCAGAACCTGCCCTTTAGGCATTTTGGGTCAAAGGCAAATTGATGGTGAATCCACGGGAATGTGAGGGAAATGACCCTGAAGAGAACTATTTGCAGAATCTGTCTGACTTGGCCAAGGCCTTCCTCACACAGAAACTCTCCTCAGGATCAGCTGGAGGGTGAAAAATGGCTTCAGCTCTTCTGGACTCTTCACTAGTGCTCCTTTTTCTTCTCCTTCCAGACACTATACAATTCCATTAAGAATGAAAAGCTGGAGTGGGCCATGTGAGTAGTGTTTGTGGCCTTGGGGTGGGTGGGAGGGTGCCTGACTGAGGTATGGAATAAGTCCCTTGGGGCTCATTTCCATTTGGGAAGGCAAGAGTGTTTAGGTCCTGAATGTCACCGGCTTCCCACTCTCCTAGATCTTTGGAAAATTGGGAGCAGTGAAGAAGTGAAGGGATTGAGGTTATTAAGTCTGGAAAAGAGAAAATTTAGGCATCTGAATATTTGAAGAAGGGATGCCATGGGGAGAAGGCATTAGAATTGTTTGGACACCCAGGGAAGAATTAGAAGTAGGGCAGAAGTTTCAGAGAAGCAGATTTTAGGAATATCTTCCTACTAATGAGTGCTGTCCAAAAATGGAATGGATTGCCCTAAGGAAGTAGTTGGTGAAGACCTCACCGGAAGTCTTCAAGAAGTGGACAAGACAGCTTACTCATTAGTATATTACAGGGAGGTTTACCATTCAGGCAAGATCATTGAGTTCCCTTCCAGATCTGAGTGTGTATGTAGTATGTGCAACACACCAATGAGAAGAAACCCATTTGCTAGGACAGTAGGTCGGTGTACTGAGCCTAGTGTGTTGGTTTCTCATTGTCATCATCATCACCAGCCATCATGGCCAACTACCCCCATATTTGCTGACATGGTACCAAATGAGATCCAGTGCCCCAGAACCTGCCCCTGAGGAATTTAGGGTCTAAGGCAAATGGATAGTGACCCATGTGACGATCCCTCTCCATCTCAGAAAAAAGGTCGTAAGTGTGAAGTCCTTGGAGATCTTTCCATGGTCCCCATTCCAGTTTGGTTTTAGTTAGATAGGGTTCAGTGTAGTTGGAGACCACACTAATTGAGTTCCGAGGATTCCCCTCACTCTCTGTCCTATCAACTCTAAGGACAGAGCACTTCACTACTCTATATCTCAATTGTCCTATCTCATGAGGCCTCTCAATGGGGCTTCTTGGCCATAGTTTGCATTTAGTTATTTACCTACCCTTCCATACCCTTCACCTCAGACAGAGAGAGGGATTGTAGAACTGGTCTGGGGATCCATTGATCCAAGAGCCAAGATCCCCAGTGGGGAAGGGGGAGAATCTAAAATCCTGTGATTCTCTGGCCAAGGATGGCGATCAGTATCAGGACAGCAGAAATCATTCAAGATCTATGATCGTGGGTAGAGGCATCAGAATTAGGAGTCAGAGCCTCTTCATCTCTTAGAGAAACTGTCCTGTCTCCCAGGGTAAGAACTAAGGTGAGGGCTAGAGAATGATCTTGGCTTACCCTGCTTTTCCCGGGCCCAGGGAATGGACTGTTGATGAAGGGTATGGGGTGGGGGCTACAGATTCCCCCCCTCCCCCTCCCAGGATGTGTGGGGGAGGCAGGGGCCATCCTGTGGTCCCAATCCCTGTGCTTCCCCAGCGATGAGGAGGAGCTGAGGAAGTCGTTGTCTGAGCTGGTGGACGACAAGTTCGGGCCTGGGGCCAAGAAAGTGACCAGAATCATAGACGGCGGCAACCCCTTCCTGGATGTCCCTCAGGCGCTCAACGCTGCCACCTACAAGCATGGTGTGCTCACCCGCAAGACCCATGCTGACATGGATGGCAAGAGAAGTGGGTGCCACTCCCCAGCGCATTGTGGAGGAGGAGGGGGGAAGAGGAGAGGGGTGGTAGGACATGATGCCTCACCTGGGGCCAGCTCCCTGGGGGAATGCTGGGGGACGGTGTGGGGAAGTTCATATTATTGCATGGGTTAGGGTTGGTGGTCCCAAAAAACCCTTACTCTTCCCAACCACCTCCACCCCCTGTTAACACAAAAATGCTGAGATGTGTATGGTGACTGGTACTATGACAGTGCATGCTCACATCTGTCATCTTTGATCCTCATAGCAACAGTAAGAGGTAGGTAAGGAAAAGGGATTATTCTCCCCACTTTACAGAGGAGAAAACTGAGGCCCAAAGAGTGAAGTGACTTGTTCAAGGCTACAGAGTGAGCTGTAATAGAACCGGCACTTGAACTCAGATCCTAGCTCAGTGTCCTTTCTGCTAGAATGCATATGGCTTCCCTAACTAGCCCACCTTTTTTTTTTTAAAACCCTTATTCAATACTGTCTCTAGCCTGTATCATTTCTGAGGAGTACTGAGTTCCCTGTTCAAACCTCCCTCATCCGTCACTCGACTTCCTTTCATTTATCCCAAAGTTTTCACTCAATGCCAAGCTCATCCCATTCATCAGGATTTGGGGACCCTCTGGTTCCCTCTGTATCTGAACATTGCCTCTATTCATTGTCCTTCTCAATTTGTGTCTCCCCAAATTGCAGAGAGCCTTATATGATCAGTCTGTGCTCATATAGCCATCCTAAGCCACTTTCCCCAACCAAGGGGTCCTTGTTGGGTTCTTGTTGAGGCCTTTCTAGTCCCTGGTACATTTTTCTTGGAACGGGGCCACTGGTATCTGGTGACATTCTCTGGGATCACAGAGCAGGAGGAATAGAAAGAGCCTTCTATAGATCCCTAGCCTGGAAGCATGAGAGCTGCCATCCCCCTTGGGCCTGTGTTGACCCAAGCTGTGTGTTGGGGGCAGGAGGAGGGGCAGGGACTGAGGAGTTATTGCTTCATTATTATCCCATTTTTCATGGTTTTGCTCACTGTTAGGACTTTTCGTGAGAGCCCAACCTGGCCTGTGGTCATTCCAAAGAGGGAGAGGGATGGGGCACACCTAGCCTGGGTGATTCAGTCCCTGGAAAAGTTAAAGAAGTCTTTGGTATTGGTTTTGTCTTGACTCCCTTTTTGTAGCATGAATCTACTGCCTTGGACTACCTCAAGTGGGGGGTTCTGGGGTTATGTCCCTGTGGACTTCATTTCTGAACAGATCCTTTCTCTGTATGTCTAGCCTGTATGTGGGCCTACATACAAGTTAGTGGCAGGGGATGGGTAGAGGGAGGGAGTGTGGGCTCTGTGTGTGGACAGTGACATAGACTTTATTTGACTATTTGACTCATAATTCAGGAGGAAATTGTGCAGTGGAGGGGGATGAATAAAGATAGGTCATAGACATCCATTCCTTGTTTTTTCTTCTAGCCCCCCGAGGTCGGCGAGGTTGGAAGAAGTTCTATGCGGTTCTCAAAGGAACCATCCTTTACCTACAGAAGGTACATGTGGTCATCAGTGGGATGGTTCTCCTCTTAGGGCTGAACCTGGAGCATTCTTGAAGAGAAAAGGAGGTAGTTCAGACCATGAGCCAAGGGAAGGAGTAGAGATCTATAATCACCTGAGGGTCTGGGGTTGGAAAGAGGGAAAGTTTGGACAGTCCCCCAGGGTACTTAGTCATTATTCATTCAGCAAGGCTTTATTGAGCACCATCTACTATGTGCCAGGCGCTCTGCTAGATACTGGGGATTTAGAGACAAAAGTGTCATAGTCCTTGCCTTCGATTTCAGCTCCTATACAACATGTACATGTATAAGTAAATTTAAAATGCAGGACGTAAATACAAAGTGATTTCAGAGGTCAGGCTATTAGCAACTAGACGGACAAAAAAGACAGGCATTCAAGCTCAGTTCTGAAGAAAACCAGGGAGTCTAAAAGGCAAGAGATAAGGAATGATGAGGGATGGCCGCTCAAAGTGAAACGTCACACGAAAGCAATGGCAAGTAGACCACTTTGGCCAAAACGTAGACTAGAAGTGGGTAAATCAGATCGAAAAGGTAGGCTGAAACCATATTAGAAGTAATTTACGTGTCAAAGATCTGATCCTTTGACTGAAAGAATAATGTGTCCCTTGGGCTCTAGTTGAGTCGGTGGTGGGTAGGTGACATCTATTACACACAGCCATGTTGATTTTATAGCTGGTATATGCTGAGCAACATCTATTAGTTTCTCCAATACTATCTTTCTTTGGTGAGGGAAATAATGAAAGTACATGACATTGTCTCTGTCCCCTTTTCCTAACCTATTGTTGAGTGGCCCTACAACCAGTTTTTCAGAAATTCAGCAGTTGGGAAGGTCTTAAGAGGGAGGTGGGCACTGAGCAGGACCTTGAAAGATGGAGTTTGGATTTGACAGAGAGGAAGGGGGAAGGCTCTGCTCTTTTGAGACTCATGGAGCTCTTACAGTGGTGAGGATTTATTTAAAGCCCTCACTGGCTTAGTTGAAAACTAAGTTGAAGATGTTTCTAGGGTAGGGAGGAGGCTAAATTCTGTTGGGAACCTGGTCCTGGGTGGGTGTTAGGGGGAGGGTTTATGGGAAGGGTAAGAAGAGAATGGAATACTGCCCTCCTCCCACAAATTCCTCCTTTACTCACTGCATCCCAGGATGAATACAAGCCAGATAAAGACCTCTCAGAAGTGGACCTGAAGAATGCCATTCGTGTCCATCACGCACTGGCCACTAGGGCCTTGGACTATAGCAAGAAGTCTAACGTACTGAAGCTAAAAACTGCTGACTGGAGGGTATTTCTCTTCCAAGCACCGTGAGTATCCTTATTTGGTGTCAGAATCCCATGTCCTCTGACTCAGACGTGCCTAAGAGAGAGCAGGAAAGGGCTAGAAGGGGTAGTCATGGATATATATGTGTTACTGACCTTGAGACAAGGTCCATCTCATATAATCCTCAGGTACTTTCCTTAAGACTTCGGACAGCACAACCCAGTGCACATAGTTTTCTTTGGAAAACAAAACCAAACCTTTATTAATTTTTTTAATATGGATGTCACTCTCCATTGACCTCCCCAACAAAAGAATTCCTCCCACATAACAAAGAAGTTTAAGTAAAACAAACCAAGATATTGGCCACATCTAGTAGCATCTACTCCCACTTGCAACTCTAGTTAGTATACTGCCTCTCTTCTGAGAAACGGCAGATGTGTTTCATGGCCAGTTCTCTGAGGTCAAGACTGGTCACTGCAATGATCACAGTCTTTGTGTTATTTTGTGTTTATTTTCTTTTGCGTTATTGTGGTCATTGTGTATGTTGTTCTCTTTTTTTTTTTTACTTCGTTCTGTATCAAGCTATATTGGCCTTCCTATATTTCTCTGAATTCTTCATATCTTGGTTTCTTATTATGCTTAATATACTATTACATTAATTTATTTACAAAGGAGGTAGGTATCGTGGGGTAGTGGAAAAGAGAGTTGGCCTGCTGCCCAGAAGACCTGGGAGTACCCACCTCTGATACTACTGGTTGTGTGACCCTGAGTAAGTCAACAGTGCCCCAGACAACTTCTGTGAGTTGCAGAGAAAAGGTCTACCTGCATTGTTAGAGAAAATCTTCTCTACCAGGAACTCCCTATGTCAAGGTTCAGTACCTAGCTGATTACAATCTATTCAGTCTTTCCCCAATTGATCTGAATACCTGTTTTGTTTGTAGTTTTTTTTGACACACACACACACACACACACACACACACCCAGGGACAAGGGAACCCTGGCACCCAGACAATGTCCTCCAGGAACCAGACTCCTCAGAGAGGTTTTGCTCTTCTCTGCCTCAAAGAAGCCTCACTGGGTTTGCTGCCTATAAGTAATCTCAGAATAGAAGAGAATTTGGTACCCTCAGTAGGTTGCCTGCAGCCTAATATATTCATGCCCCTAGAGTCAGCCAACCTCCTCTCACAGATTAATAGATGTATTTTAGGGGTGTGCTGGTAAATGTTTAGTAAATGGCTCTCTGAAAAATACAAGGGGCACACTTTGAAGCTTAATTTCCATTATTAACATTTTTTCCTTCACTTTCTTAAGTCTAGACAATCAACAAAAATAAATCAAGCCCTGATTTATAATGTTAGCTGATTTCTGAGGTGCTAATGCTCATGCTGAAAATTTAACAATCAGCTCCAACACATCCCTTCATCTGATCCCTGTGTAGCAAGGCCCAGCCCAGACTTCTCTTTCTGGCCCTCCAGCTGGGGTAGAAGGAGTGGTGCTTTTGAGCCCAATCTGCTCCAGGTTTCCTTCTCTCTTCTCCCTGTCCCCACCCCACCCTCACCTGAAAGTGAAAAAATTCTCTCCCTCCCTCTGCCCCCCTTTCCAAAAACATCAGAATTGGTTTCCAGCAGCTTCCTTTTGGGGATGTAAAAGGCAGAATCCAACAGAAACCCCCAGGTGTGGAAAAGTGGGTTATTGGCTCCTGGATTTGGTAATGGATATGGATTTACCTTGCTTTAGTTCAAGCAACTGTAAAGTTACTTTTAAACCACCCACATGTAGATATTGGAGTTGCATGGACCTAGTCTAACTCCTTTGCTTTACAGAGGAGGAAACAGACCCAGAGGGGGAAGCAACTTGTCTAAGGTCATAGGTGATTTAGTGATAGAATGAAAAACTCAATTCTTGATCCTCCTGCTTCAGGGTTTTTTACTTTTTGTCACCCCAGACCTTTATAAAGCGTATTATACTTTTAAATGTAGAGTGGCTGGTGAATCCATTTTGTAAAATAAAACATACTCTTTACTTATAAGGGTCAAGTCTGGATTTCTGTAGCAGGAATTTGTTAGGAATTAGGGACACAGACACAGACACAATATACACAATACATGTACAATACATACACACACACACACATATATACATATATATATACATATATATATACATATATATATATACATATATATACATATATATATATACATATATATATACATATATATATATATATACATATATAGAAACAGAAGAGAGAGAGAGAGAGAGAGAGAGAGAGAGAGAGAGAGAGAGAGAGAGAAGAGAGAGAGAACTAAGTTGTTAGGGAGCCCAGAGTTTAGCTGAGATAGGTCCTGGAAGCAGGGCCACACCTGGCCCTGTAGGAGGCAGTCCTGTCTAGTCTGGAGTGCCAGCACCATTCACAAAAAGGATACCAGAGAGCTGTGAGTAGGTGGTACCTTTTCCCCACCCCAGGAGCAAGGAGGAGATGCTTTCCTGGATTCTTCGAATCAACCTGGTAGCTGCCATTTTTTCTGCCCCTGCCTTCCCAGCTGCTATCTGCTCAATGAAGAAGTTCTGTAGGCCCCTTCTGCCCTCCTCTACCACACGCCTGTGCCAGGTAAGGACCAAAGTCTGCCTCACCCCAGGGACTCTCCTTCTATTCCCAACAGAATCCAAGAGGCTTAGAATGCCAGGGCTGGAAAGGAACCGATGGGAGAACTGAGGTACACAGATGTGTCTTGCCCAAAATCACACGTTGAATTAGCGGCAGAGCTAGGACTGAGGTCCAGACTTCCTGTCTTCAAACTCAGTGCTGTTCTAATAAGATGCATATACTGAACATCTGCTGTGTGCACTGGCCTTTGCTAGCCTCTTTGGGCAAGGTAGGTTTTGTCCTCCAGGATCTGAGGACTGAGTTAATTGAGACTATAAAATTCCCGAGTAGCTAAATTATAGCACAATCCAATAGCAAGCTGTGTTTGAGATGCCACCAGGCCAGTTCCCTGGGGAGAGTCTTGGAAGTTCCTAGAGATAGGTTGGGGGTATGTGGGGGTGTTCCCAAAGAAAACATTGCCTTCTGTAGTCTACCCCAAGGAGAGAGGTAAGGACCTTTCTTTGTGACATCCTGTGTTCTGGGTCCTTCTGCCTGTTCTAGGCCACAGGCTTTACAGAGAAGACTATGCAATCTCCTTGGGCAGCCACCCAGACTGGTTAGGGCTTGGGAAATCTTTAAGCTCATGACTTTGATCCTATCTGCCTATTTTTTCCAATGTGACCTGGGCCCTCCTGCCCTCTGAGGGAAGGAGTTTTGCAAACACCTCATCATTCCCAGTGTTCTAATTGGGTCTGCCTTGACACACTGCCCATGATGTGTACAATAACATCAGAGCCTGGCTATGTCAGGGGGAGATTGTGTGTGTGTGTGTGTGTGTGTGTGTGTGTGTGTGTGTGTGTATATATGTGTGTGTGTGTGTGTGTGTGTGTGTGTACGTGCACGTATATGTTACATTGTGTGCTTGTGTGCATAGTGTGCAGGTGTGTGTCAGCTGAAGTTCTTTGAAAATCAAAGTTGTCATTGGGAAAGATAGAGGGGATTATAAGGGTGACTCTTAAACTCTATTCTACACATTCTTGAGGTGGGTACCTGATGTGACAGCCTTACCCAACAGCTGTTAGCCCTCACTCCTTCCCCTCTGGCCAGAGAGATTCAATTGTCAGCACCACCAGCACTAAAACTCAGGGGAGATGGAGTGAATTTAGAATGGCAGCAACACCTCATACTAAGAGCCCTCGGCTACAGCATCAGGAAACCTGGGTTCCAGGACCAGTTCTGCCACTGAGAATCATGGGCAAGTCCATACCCCTTGCTGGGCCTTCGTCTCCTTATCTGTGGAATGGGAACAGCTATCCCTCTTCCTATGCTGCAAGGCAACAATTCTTGGATGTGGGGGGGGGTCCCCTCTGCAGGAAGAACAGCTGAGGTCCCATGAAAACAAGATGAGGCAGATCACAGCGGAGCTCACAGAGCACAGGATGCACCCGACTGAGAAAAACGTCAAGTCAAAGGAGGCGGAGGAGTACCGGCTGAAGGAGCACTACCTGACGTTCGAGGTAAGGACTGCACGGGAATGTGGGGGCATTTGGGATCAGTGCTGAGCTCGGTGCAGACCACAGGGGAAGAGCTGGGGCCAGAAAGGGCAATTTTCCCTTTCACGAGGCCACCTGGTCACCTGGTTTATTCTTGGTGCTGGACAACTTTGGGCAAGTCACAGGGCCTTCCCTCTGTGGATGAGCTCCTATCTATCACTTATTTGCATATAGTTGTTTGCATATTGCCTTCCCCATTAGACGGTGAGGTTCTTGAGGGCAGGGACTGTCTTTTGCCTTTCTTCATACCCCCAGCTCTTAATATAATTCCTGGAACACAGTAGGTACTTAACAAAGGCATATTGACTGACCAACAGAAGAAGGAACCCTGTGCCTTTCTTGACACTAATGGAATCACGGGGACAATATTTGGGAAAGGTTGCTTAGAAAGAAATCCAATCAGTCAGACAACAAGCCTTTATTAAGCACCTACTATGTGTCAGGCATATGCTAACCACCCTCAAGGAGCTCACCTTCTAATAGAGGAGAAAACATGCAAAACATCATACGTGCAAAAAGGACCATGTGACAGACAGAGTTGGAGGCTGGGACATGGCTCAGAGACCCCTCAGGGCCCAGAGTGGGGGTGGGGGTGGGGAGAGGCTCTATTCAGATATCTATACAGATACAGATTCTCCAACTGGGTCAGGGGAATGTAATGACCATCTCTTTTGTGTATGCTATTTCCATACCCGTTGTCTCATCTGTTCTTTATAATAACTTGTGAGAGTAGGTAGGGGGAAAAAATCACCCTGGCATTCCCAGGTGAAATCCTAGGTGGGCATGTGAGTCCAAGACAGATTCTGTGAGAAACCCCTTAGATCAAACTCGGCTTGTATAAACCCACAGCAACAGCCCTGGGCTCAGGCAAGACAGGGATTATTATCCCATTTCACAGATGAAGAAAAGCTCAGAGAGGGGAAGCAGTTTTCCCCAGGTCTCCTTATTTACTGTAGGACTCTTAGTGACACAGTTGGCTTGATTTCATTTGTCACACCCTACCTCTCCAGCTGCCCTGTGACCCACTTTCCTCTTCATCTGACATCCTTCCCTCTTCCTCCCAGAAAAGCCGCTATGAGACATACATCCATCTCCTGTGTGTGAAGATTGAAGTGGGCTCAGATGACCTGGAGCAGATTGAGGCCAGGCTGGCCACAGTGGAGGCTGAGGACCTCTCCTTGAGGAAGACACACTCCAGCCCCTCCCTCAGCCAGGGCCATGGGCCCACGGCAGGTGGCTTAGTGCAAAGGGATGTCACAGAGCCCAGCACTTAACTGGGATGTACGGACAGGCCACAGAAGCAGGGCCTCTGCCGGATTGCCCCGTGGAGGTCAGGGGGCACGGTTCTGCCCTGGAGCCCTCATGGACTGACCCCCGGTGGGCGAGCCAAAGGACTCCAGTCGGGGTCAGGGCCCAGGAGGCCGAGAAGTAGTCATTGTCAAGGTGTTGATCCTCTTCCCTACTCTGACATCTCCGGGTCCTCAACTTTCTCCTAGCCCCGAGAGAACTCTCTGTTGGGACCCTCTATAATCCCCACAGAGAGGTTTCTCATTATAATGGGAATTTGCATCCCTGCCATAAAGCTCACAGTTTTGGAGCTGAGGAACCTTGGCTCTTTCCAGGTGCCCCCCCCAACTCTTCTCACTGCATTTCTCCCTCTTCTCCCCACCCTTGTCCTATTCCCAGCCCCTCACTATGGGTGGATCCTATCAAATCAAAAATGATCCTCCAGGCCCCACCTCCCCTTCTCCAAGACAAGCAGCCGCAGGTCTGTAGGCCACACACAGCATCTTCCCCCCAAATCTCGACAACCCACCCACCTGCTGCAGCAGAGGCCCCGCCAGAGCCAGTCATGGCCATCCCACTGTTGTTGCAATAATCCAGGCCAAGTGACATTCCTCTCACAGTGTCAAGCCTGTCCCTGCTTTACACCTGACTATTCTGTCCATTTAGATAGGAAACACTATGGCCTCACACACACACACACACACACACACACACACGATTTTCTAATGATGTAGGAGAAAGAGAGGAAAAAGAAACAGAAACACCAGATGGATCTACCTGTTCCCCGAATGTGTCCTAAGGCCTAGGGCTCAGCGTCTCCTCAGGGGCCTGGCACCTCCAGGGAGAGGGAGGGGTGGTTCTTGGGGCTGCTGGGGCCACTCTGGCTTTAGTTGTGACGCATACTGCTTTACTGTCCATGCTTTGGAAATAAATAGACAGAGCCCACGTGTGTGTGTCTGTGTGGCTGAGGCTGCTGCTTAGCCTGCCCCACAAAGGATGGGGAGGCGGTGGGGGTCAGAGGGGGGGACAAGAATCACGGAGGGAAGAGAAGGGGATTCTTATTGCCGGTCTGCATTGTCCTCGCTCTACCCAGATCTCTGAGCCCTCTGGGTGTGGAGGTATCAGAGCAGGTCAGGAAATACAACAAACTTAGTCACTCGATCTCATTAGCTGGGGGGGTGGGGGTGGGGGGAAGGGAAGAAAGGAATAAGCCTGTGACACAGTGTTCTTGGGAGAAGGTGGGGTGCCACGATACACACTGCTGCAAGACTGCTTCTTTCACAGGATTTAGAAATTGTCAAATTCACCTGTTTCATTTTACAAATGAGGAAAACTGAGGCCCAGACAGGGTAAAAATGAGGGGCTTTTCCAAGGTCACATAGTCAGAAAATGGCAATCCTAGGTATCCTGTTCAAATGTTATGGCTAGAGTCCAAATTTGAACAAGGGAGGCCTGGCTAACATTCAATCTCTGAAAAAAAACAAAAAAGAAATTTGCAACATATGTGATCACTAAATTAGCACTCTTCAAGACCTGCAATTATTAGCACCTCAAGTGGGTGGGTGATAGCTGCTCTCTAAGTTCAGTTAACAAGCAAGGCCTTTCTCTGTTTTTTTTTTCTTTTCTTTTTGGTAACTGACTAATAATATAATCTGGCTCATGTTAAAATAAGGCAGAGATTGGACTCCATTCAGCTGTACCATATGCATTAACTGTAGAAAGAAAGAGAATGAGCCAACCTTGTAATATCAAATAAGTCCTGCTTCTTCACCAGCCCATCAACATTTTATGTATTCACCCATGTGTACATACAGAGAAAGTGTCAACTTTTGGCTTTCTACTTTGAAATCATCCGAAGCCACTTTGTAATACTTGACTTTAATAATAAGACACTTCTGGTCACTCTTTTTGGTGAGTAATCTGTGCTTAGGAATTGGCCACGCTCTTGTGAACCAGGTATAATCAAGAAAATAATTTTGGAAAACAAAATAGTATCTACAAAGCCAGTTAGAAGTGGATTTGGAATGTTGTATTTCTTTGTGTGATACAGATGTCTCTGTTCCCTTCTGTTAATGTTGATAGTAGGGCAGCTAGGAGGTGCCGTGAATAGAGTGCCTGCCCTGGAGTCAGATAGACTCATCCTTCTGAGTTCAAATCCAGCCTGAGATACTTACTACCTGTGTGACAGGGCAAGTCACTTAACCCTGCTTGCCTCAGTTTCCTCATCTGTCAAAAGAGCTGGAGAAGGAAATGGCAAACGACTGCCGCATCTCTACCAAGACAACCCCAAATGGGTCAGATGCAAATGAAAAATGACTGAGCAAAAGTGTTTGATAGTAAAGTTACTCGGACAATATAATAATGGCCAGGGCAATAAATGCTTCGCATGTTAATTCATTGGTCTTCATAAAAACACTGAGGGAGGTGCTATTATCCCCATTTGACAGATGAGGAATCTGGGACACAGAGAGGTTTTTTTTTAAGGTAATTAAAAAAATTTTTTTTGGCTAGGCAATGGGGTTAAGTGACTTGCCCAGGGTCACACAGCTAGTAAGTGTTAGGTGTCTGAGGCTGGATTTGAATTCGGGTCCTCCTGAATCTAGGGCTGGTGCCACCTAGCTGCCCCCTGAGACACAGAGAGGTTAAGTGACTTGTCCAGGGTCACAAAGCTAGGAACCATCTTGAGACAGGATTTGAATTCTGGTCTTCCTGATTACAAATCCTGTGTTTCAGGTACTGCACCACCTTACCATGTAACTGGAATATGCTGTACAAACACACGTATCTACTGAGGGTTAAGAGAATGAACTGGACAGATATATTTCCTCATACAAGTCAGCATGGACAGCAGTGACCTTTGCCAGTAGGCTGCCCTAGGGAGCCTTCGGGTTAGTGACAGTTTCTAAAATTGTCCAGTTTAAGGATACCCTCAGGGCAGCAGCAGATATCCAGCAGACAGCTGGACAAACTAGAGATACTGCCCAATGGTAGCTCTTGGGGCTGTAAGCAGGGAATCACAGGGAGAGGAAGAGACCTTGATGATGGGATATGGTCCATAACCTCGTTGTTGGGGGAGGGGGCATACTGGTGGACTGACCCTTGAGACAGTTTTAAATATTCAAGGGTGCTCTGGAGTGGCACATCAGGCTGGCAAGAAAGAGTCTAAAAATAAGCAGAGAGCGGGAGGAATGTTAAGCGATTCGGGGAGAAAGAAACATGGAGTTTGGGAAGCAGCCGGACAGAGATGCCACTCCAGAAAACCTGGGAGGCCCTAGGTGTTGAAGAAAGGAGGAGCAGAGAGATACAACTGGTGCATAAAGCTCCCCCAGCTTCCCACAATTCCTAGCTGTGCGGCCCTGGACACTTCATTTGACCTCTCTGTGCCTCGGTTTTCCTCATCTGTCAAATGGGGATAATAATAGTGCCTCCTCACAGAGTTGCTGTGAAGATGGAGTTAGCTTGTGTAAAGCACTGTGGACAGCACTATATAAATAATAGCTATTATTATTATTATTATTATTCCCATAGCTTTTCTATCAACACTAACAGAAAGGAACAGGGCATAAGCTCCTAGTTTTCAGGCCTCCCTGTTAATGAAAAGACTGGTTTCCTTACTGAGGCAAAAGTGAAGAGGTGGTTGCACTATCAGCAATGATTAAGAAAGGGCAGAGAGATCTGTGCACAAGAAAAACGCCATATTGACCAAATCCTCTGCATATCCCACCCCTAGAAATGGTTGAGTTATTCTGGAGTCTGTGGCACAGGGAGTGAGCATTGACTTTGGAGCCACAGGGCCCAGGGTTCAAATCCCACCTGTGATGCTTACCACCTATGGGACCTGGGGCAAGTCCCAACCTCTCTGGGTTACAATTTCTCCATAAAATGAGGTTGTTGGACAAGACGGTCTCTGAGGTCCCTTTGAGATCCAGTTCCACGACCTATGGATGTCTCTTGTTCTTATATATCTGTGCCATTTCCCTATATATCTTCCATATAAAATCTTTGCTATGAAGGGTACATCATCCAATATAAACTTCAACACTTCCCAGCAAATAAAGCGGGCATTTAAGCACGTGAATGGAATAAAAGGACCATAGGATATCATAGATGTAGAATGGGAAAGAATCCCGGAGGCCTTCTAGCACAACCTCCTCATTTTACAGATGAAGAAACTGAGGCCCAAGGGGGCTAACTAATTTGCCCAAGCTCAAATAGGGAGTGAGTTTGAGGTGGGACTTTTGAACCCCCAAGTTGGCTGATTCCAAAGCCTGTGCTCTTTCCACTGTGGTGTTAATGTGAAAAGATGAGGTGTCACTTAATGAAGACAGATCATCTGTGGGTTACACAGTATATTTAAAAGCCAAACCGGCCATTTCTTAAATTTTTCTTCACTACCTACTGCGATTCTAGAAAACAAAAAGCCAAATGAAAATACAAATGTGGAGAGGCCAAGTGGGTTCATTAAGAATTAAATATTTGAGTTCCAATTGGTACACTCCCTTGTTTTCCCTTCCTGCCCTCCAAATTTCTAGAACTCAGAAGGTCACAGGAGAACCAAAATGAGGTTAAGATATCAGTGGGTTCATAAAAAGGTCATTTTGGAGCTTGGTCATTTGAGGTTAAATTATGGCTTCTAAAAGGAGTTGTTTCTTTTAGAGCAAATAGAAATGTCAAATGGAAGAAACAAATGGGACCACAGAATGACCAAAAAGCTTATTGAGCTGATTGGCCCAGAGGTCAAAAGGTTTTCTCTAAGTCCAAACTAAGGCATGTAAGGATTTCTTGACCTTTAGCTGCTACTACCCAGATATTTTCAAACAAGGGGAGTGGTCAGATAAAGACAGAGATGCCAGGGACTTCACTGCCATTAGAGTGGTTATTGGAGCACTTTCCTCAGTCCTCCCAAAAAATTAAATCTAGTGCTGTTCCTCTTGCCTTCTTCCCTGTATTGAGGGGACCCAGGCTATTCATGGCTCATATACAAGCTGGCCTTTATAAATGAAGAAAGTTGATCCATCCGTCAATCACATGGATACGCTCTGGAATGTATAGGACTTGGCAAAACTTAGGGAGTTTCTTGAACTCTTAGAATGTTAGAACTGGGTAGGAGTTAGGATGTCATTTTACATAGGTCAGGGATGGAATCAATACTAGGATCTCCTGGCTTCAGCTCAGTGTTTTTTGGGGTTATACCTTGTCACCTTAATGTCTGTGCATTGAAGGAAAGTGAGAGCTGAATCTGACGCAGAAATCTGGTTCCTCTGCACCCATAACCACAGGAGAGGTAACAAGAGCTGTGGAAGACTGGAATTTGTCCTTGTAGATGCTTGGGGGAGGGGGAAGGAGGACGGGGAGAGTGCTGGGGGGATAGGGATGGGGTGGAGCAGAGGCAACACACAAATTGTAGGGTCACCAATACTTGTCAAGAGTAAAAGGAGTCCTGGCAGGGAGAGGAAGCTCTGCAGGCCACTTTGTATGTCCAGACTATGACAGTAATCCTGGGAGACTTTGGATGTCACAGTACCAATCCTATTACCCACACCCCCCTCCCTCCCCCCAATGCCAGGAACTCTCCCTTCATCCTTACCCCTACAATCCATCCTGGGAACCATTCCATGCTCTCTGGGCCCAAGTTCCAAGCGGAGGGATCTGCGTCAGCACATTGGCCCTGTTCCTCGGCACCGCAAGGGACATCTTGTAAATACCTTCTCACCGAGGCTGTTGCCAAAGGCAGGCACTGGAAGCAGGGGTGGGTGTGCGTGTTGTGGGGGAGCAGAGAGTGTTCTCTGGCCCTCTGGAGTGTGCGTGTGTGTTGGCTAGCACGTGTGGCTTCTCTACTGGGGTACTTCCTTAACCCTAGCAATCCACCCCACTTCATCCTAGTTCTCCCTCCCCTCCAATCTCCCCCATCACCCCCTGCCAACCTGGAGACTGGATAAACACACTGGGGCAATGAGTTATTTTGATTTTTATTTATAATATAAAAAAGTTCAAGTGTTCAACAGTCAAGAGTTCAGACATTCAGACAATCTGGGACAGATTTCTCCTTGGTTTATGTTTGTTTGTTTTACAATAACTTTACGAGGAATTAGCTGATTTTTTTTTTCCGGTCAGACCCAATTATTTCTTTGTAGGGGAGAAGAGGTTGGAAGGATGGGTTGGGGGCTAGGAGAAGGGATTGGGGGGAGGGGGAAGAGGGGATTGGTTAGTTACTTTATTGCTAAAAGGTAAAATCAAATACACTGTCAATTGTGTCTTCTCAATCACAGCCTCACCATGCATCCAATCTACAGTATCTGAAATGCAGGACATGCAGGCGTAAAAGAGAAAAGGCGAACCATGTAAACGAGGTGCTGCAGAGAACTGAGGGGAGCCCTGGAGAGACCTCCCTGGGGCAGGGAGAGGTGGGTGTACCCCTCATCCCACCGCAGCTCTGGCTCTCCCTGACCTAGGATGCGTTGCTGGGCTAACCCCTGGGCCCTGGACACCGTGGGTAAGGAGGGGTATCCTCTTTCCAAGCCCGCCCCTGCCAGGGGTGGAGAGGGATGGGGGGAAGTCCTCCACTTTGGCCAGTCGGGCTCTAGTCTGTCTCCCAACCCTGCCACAACCAGCTTCTCAATGTCTCAAAAATGGACATCTTAGCTTTTATTCTTCTAGTCTCTAGGACCCAAGTTCTTATTTTCTGAGAAGGGAATCCCACGGGACAGAATTGCCCACCCATTACCTGGGAGGGGGGGTTTGGTTGCTTTCCCCCCTCCAAGTTTCTCTTCTCCAAATGCTAAAATTTGGCTCTGAAGGATGCATGTAAGACCACCTGGGAACCCCATCTCTGACTCTCTTCACTATGGCTAGTTCCTATTCCTCCTTTTTTTTTTTTTCAGTCTGGGAGTGGGATGGGCTTCATCTCTTGGTGGGAGGGGGAAGGAAAGAGGAGACAAGATGGTGGGTTTGGGGTGGCCAGAGCCAATCACTAACCTGTTGGACAGCGGAGGTGGCCACAGCCTTCTCTCCAGGAGCTCCATATTAGCGTACAGCAAAAAGGCACCACATATAGGTTTCTATTAAATAGTCAAAAAATTGGCCCATCTCTCCTTTTTTTTTTGTTTCTTTTTTTTCCGAAGCTGTAAATCAAGATGTTACATATAAATAGAGTTTCCTATAAAAAAGTCTTTGCTATTAGCTATTATAAGACAACTTTTGCTAAAATGAAAATAAAACATTTTGTTATATTTTTCCTTTTATATAAAATAAAAATATTTTTATTTCTTTCCAAGTGTGTGGTTTTTGTTCTCCTTAAAGATACCGGGAGCAGAAGGAGGGAAATGAGAAGGGGGTGGGGAGGGGGAGGGAGGAAGGAGGACAAGGTGGGGAAGGGGAGAAAAAGTGGGTCCTAGAGGGGAGCAGAGTCTTGTTTCCCCCGTGGGTGTGTGATACGGCTGTGTCTGCTCTCTTGGGTGCTGTGTCTGTCTAAGGAGTAGTAAGTCCTGCTGTCCACTGGCTGGTACAGCGGAGGGGAGTCCGTGCCCACCATGTCCGAGGTGTGGATGCTGAGAAAAGGGGTACACTCGGCCACCAGCTCCTCATCTGATTCACTGTAGGAGGCACTGCTGAGTGAGAAGGAGTCCCGGACGGCCCGCGCCCGCTGGGCCATGTGCCCGTTCAGTCTGGATTTCCTCCACCGCCGATGACTTGTAGATGTTCTCTTGGGCGGTTCCAGGGTGGGTGCACACTCCTGTGTAGTCTCATACTCATCGTCCTCTGTGATTCGGAAGGGGCTGGCGGGCAGACTTCCCATGCTGTCGTGGGAGCAGCCCCGGCGGGGCGGGTAGTAGCTGTCGTAGCTGCGCTGCATGTCAGAGGCGGGGGCCACGGTGGTGGGCGAGTGCCGCAGGAGGGGTTGCTGCTCAGCGAGACGGAAGCTGATGGGTGCAGCTGGGGGAAGTGAGACAGCATGGGCTGAGTTTGGTGAGGTGATCTCGAAGGTAGGCACCTGCGTGGCCAGGGAATAGTGGAAGTCGACAGGCGACAGGCGGGCAGGCGTGGTGAGGGCTGACACATACCTGGGAAGAAGAGGCAAGAGGCAGCTAGGGTCCTCAGGAGCCAACCTAACCCTTCCCTGGATTAATATTGAGGTCCCTGAACAAAGGCAGAAATGAATTAGGGTGCAGGCTGGGTCCACCACACAAGAGGCTCCTGGCGAAAACATCCCTACCTTAAGCTAGAAGAACTTTTAGAAGTAATTTATTTTGAGTCCCCACCCAATGTCCTACAAGATACCCAAGAGTTACTGCTGGAGAACTCATTAGCACACAGGATCAGTGTATTCTCCTGCTGGACACCTGTAGTTATTAGGAAGTTCTTTGTCCCATGGAGCCTGAACCTGCCTCCTCTTCCCACTCCAGTAATTTCCACCCATGGGTCCTTGTTCTAACGTCCGGAACCATTCAAAATTCTAATCCCTCATTTAAACATTTGAAGCCAGGTATCACGTCCTCCCTGGGAGGTGGAGCATGCTAGGAGCCCATGGCATGACACGGAGCCTGGACATACTCCAGGTTGTCAAAATCCCATTTTAAAGCACAATGCCCAGAATTTCATCTTTATGCATACCCCACAAAAGCGGAAATCCATTTCTTTTCCCAGTGCCTCACCTTGCATACCCTTCCCCTAGACAGGTGGGAACCTGTTACGGGACTCATCTGGTAGGAGAGGAGGCTAATTAAGCCCACGGCAAGTCTCAAATACAAATCTCTAAGAGCCAAGTGGGGAAAAGGAAGGATAGTTTCCTTGTTCTCCTATGTTACACCGGGGCTCAAGAGCATTTTTTAAGTGACAGAGCCAAACCACCATTTCCTAATCACATAATTCTAGAGCTGGAAGGGACCTCAACTATTAGTTTCAGGACTTGCAGGACCCCCTGATCATTTCCTGCTATACTTCTGTCTCAGCAATCACAGTGCCCCCAACCATACTCCACATACCTTCCTTTTTGGCTTGCTCCTACTGTTCCCTAGGCTCTGACCAGAAAATCTCAGAGCTGAAGCATGGTGCCTAATCTATTCCATAACCTCAGGCAAATCACATCACCTGTATGGGACTCATTATACCCAGCTGTAAAATGGGATGACAATCTGCCTGTCTCACAGGGGTACTTACCCCACAAGGTGTTGTGAAACTGATTGAGACCTTGTTTGCTAAAACACCAGTTACAAATAAGGGTTTGCTGTTTTGATTATTTAGGCAGCTGTTACCCTTGGCCAGACAGCTATGAAGAAAGGTGTTATAAAGGGTGAGAGACTAGTCGGAGGCAGGGCTGACCTCTCACTGTGTGGCGAATCCCGGAGGGAGTCCACCGAGTCATGGTATGGCATGGCTGGCCGCCTTTCGTCCTCCATGCTGCAGGCTGCCTCACGCCGGGCGCGAGCCTCGATGCAGGCTGGGCTGTTACACTTGCTGGTGCCCACGGATGACATCATGATACCTGACTGGGAGTCTGAAGTCAAGCTCTCTGTCTGCTCCAAGCTCCATGTGTGGCTTTCATGTCTGAGGAGGCAAAGCGACAGATGACATTTAAGGTATGGCCAGTGAAGTCCAGCTAAAATTCAGCATCTATTAAACGATGAACCATGCAAGGCACTGAGAATACAAAGACAAAAAACAAACAAATAAATGAAAAAACCCAAAACATCCTTTCCTTTAAAGAGCTTCCATCCTATTGGAGAGAGAGAAAACGTATACAATATATAGGCAAGCCAATACAGGGTAGATTGGCTGTTGAAAAGTACATAGGCTTTGAAGGCAGAAGATCTGGATTTAATCCCACCTCTGACACTGTTGGCATGACCTTAGACAAGTCACTTAAATTCCCTGGACTTCAGTGGATAGAGCACCGGCCATGGATTCAGGAGGATCTGAGTTCAAATCCAGCCTCAGACACATAACACTCACTAGCTGTGTGACCCTGGGCAAGTCACTTAACCCCATTGCCTAGCCAAAATAAATAAATAAATAAAGATTAAAAAATTAAATTCCCTGGGCTGAAGTTTTCTTATATGTGTACACACGTACACACACACACACACACACACACACAGAGTGAGAGAGTTGGTCTTTTTCAGTTCTAATCTATGTGCCTAAGGTAATATGAAGGTGTAAAGACAGAAAGAGAATTTAAGAAGAGATTTTTAGATTCTCAATAGCCTTCTCTGGCCTATTCTCTGCTCTCTTGGCTTCCATTTCCCCCTGGTTCTTCTCCTTCCCAGTCTCCTTTGCTGGATCACCAACAGTTTCTTGTCTGTTTAGCAGATACATCATAAGGCTCTACCTAGGGCCCTCTTCTCCTTCTGCTCTCTTGATGATCTCATCAGTTCCCAGAGTTTCTTTCCATGAACATCTCTTCACAGATGACTCTATGATCTACATATCTAGATAGCCACTCTAGTCTCTTTTCTGAACTCCAGTCTTCTAGTTGTTGTCAATAGGACATCTTCATCAGCATCTCAAATTCAGCAGGTCCAAAACAGAATTCATCATCTTCCCCCCCAACCTCAACCTTCCTCCACCCTTCTCCATTTCAGTTGATCCTTCCAAGTTACTCAGGTTCACAACCTGACTCTCCCTCATCCCCCACATCCAGTCAGTTGCCAAGACTCGTTGAGCCACTGTCCGCTGCATCTTTTGGACCTCCCCTATTTTCTCTCTGCTCACATGGCTTCTCGCCCAGTTGAGGCCTTTGTTCACCTCTCCCCTGGACTTCTTCTGCCATTCAGTTAGTCCCCCGGATCCCACTCTCTCCCCTCTCCAACCCATTTTCCACACAGCTGGCAAATTAATCTTTCTAAAACCCAGGCTTTCCCACGCTGCTCTTCTACTTAAAAATCTTTAGTGGTTTCTCATTTCCTTAGAATAAAATGCAAAGTCCTCAACCTGGCAAAACTCACTTAACCTTGGTTTGCCTCACCTATAAAATGAAGATATTAATAACTTCTACTTTTGCAAGGTTGTTGCGATGATCAAATGAGATATTAATTTTTTTCCTAAAAAAGTGTTTAGCATATGCCTGGCACATAGTAGGCACGCTATAAATGCTTATTTCCTTCTCCCACCCCCATCTGGCATTTACATTTTTCTACACCCTGGTTTTTGCCAACCTTTCCAGACTCATGTCATGTTATTTTCCTTCACACACTCTACATCTACTCGAACCAGCCTATTAGTTGTTCCCCAAACTCAACACTTCTTTTTCTATCTTCACTTCTCACTCTCTCACTTCCTTCATGGCTCAGCTCAGCTGTCATATCCTATGTGAAATGAAGACTTTCATGAATCTCTTCTCTGTCCCCCAATTCCAATTGTCTTTTATTTACTTATCTGCATACACGCTGTATCCTCCCCTGAGAAGAGCATATGAACTTTGTTGGCAGTTACTGCTCTGTTTCTATCATTGTATCCCCAGCCCCTAGCAGAATACCTTGTGAATAGTTTTAAAGTAAGTGCTTAATAAATATCTGTTGAATTGAATTAGGCAGTGTTATACTGTTTTGCTACCATCAATAGCACCAATAAGAGCTCTCTACTTCTAGAGCCTGGACTTCTCATTCTATCTCAGCTCTAGGTATCCTACAGGACCATGGCTAAAGTCCCCCCTTCCATTCCATACTTTGGTTTACCAATTGAAAAGTGATAATCAAACTTCAGTGGCTTCCTATTACCTATATCAAAGATGTTTAAAATGTGGTCCACCAATCACATGTGGCCTATAACACTAATACTCTCAAATATGGCCCCAACCAGATTAAAACGAAATCAGGAAACACTTAACAAAATAAAATTAAAATGTAATGGAACATAGATCATGCTGACATGTGGTTTCCTAAGTCAGTATGTGCCCACCTGTAGGGCTACTTCTGTATGGTATAGTGGTCCCTGTTTCTATTTGAGTTTGACACCACTGGTCTACATGACATTCAAGATCCTTGACAAGATGACGTGTACCTATCTCTTCTACCTTATCTTCCACGTTGTAGTCACCAATCCAGCCGAATTGATCTGACACTCACTGCCCTCCCTGAATCTTAGAATCTTAGAGTCGAACAAGGCCTCATAGAGAATATCTAGTTTAATGCATTCATATTCACAAATAGGAACTTTCTCTGTGGGACCCCTGACAAGTACATACCTCACACTAATTGTCAGGGAGTTCTTTCTTATATTAAATCTACGGTTAAATGGTCCTCGGTCTGTGCTCTGAGGCCCAAGGTGAATAATCCTTCTTGAAGGACATAAGGCAGTCTTCAAACATTTGAATACGACTGTCACGTCAATTTAACCAATAGGGTTTCAGCATGCAAATTTTTATGTCACTGACATCCAGCAAACACACTGAGCAAAAGCAATCACCCTTCTCTACCAATGCATGACCTCTGAGCCAATGGGAACAAAGTGTGCAGACCTCCTCCCTCACCCCCTCCTTCGCATCCTCTCAGGGTGTGGGCACTGACCAATGCTGTCATGGCTGGCTCCTTTCGTGCCCTCTCCTCTGCTCCATCACATCAACATCTGGCTACGTCCTCCCTTCACCCTCCTCCCCCGGCCTGCTGCTTCTTTCTGGCCACAGCGCCAATGACTAGGAGTCCTTAATACCGAGTGACTCAAGGGAGAGTGCTGGTGTCTGTTAAATCTCTTTCATTTTTCAAAGTATGAGTGCTGTGTATGCATATATGAGAGAGAGAAAGGGAGAGACAGACAGACAGACCGACAGAGACAGAACGAGAATGAGTATGTGCTTTTGTGTATATGTGTATAGGTGTAGATTTGTGTGTATGAAAAGGCTGATATGACATATATTTCTAATCCATAATCTCACGAAGGGGATAGGAAGGGAAAACACAGTCTTGTTCACCAAGCCACAGAGCCCGGAACAAAGAGGAAAGCTTTGATGCTTCAAGGATGATGTCCTGGGACAAAGAAGACAGACATGCAGCCAAGGAATAAACTTATGGACATGCTTTCCTTAGTCCTACAGTCAGGGCTCGAAAGAGAAACCTCTTCAAGGAAGAGCATCGTGAATTATTAGGGAGAAGTTGGGAGTCCTTTGGGGGCATGAAGCAGGTATCCCCACCTGTGGCTGGAGGTGGGTGTGGCTGTGGAGCAGTGATGGGACGGCGAACAGGAGTGGCTCCCAGAGAATGTGGTCTCAGTTTCCCTCCGGATGACGTGGTCAGTGGCAGGGACATTTTTGGAGATGTACTGCAACAGAGAGAGAAAGGCATGTGGGTGATACATGAACTGAGTAACATGAGAACTGAGGAAACCAGGAACAACAGGACCCTGATTTGGTTGTTCTGAACCTATCTGGATCTGGTAGTCAAAAACGGAGAAGGGACTCCTCTGATACATTCAAGTCAGTCAGTAAATAAGCATTTTGGAAGTGCCTGCTATGTGCTAAGGTGTGTGAGTTGGTATGTGTGTGTTTTTTTACAGAGCAGGAGGAATTTAATTTAAATAACAATTTAATAAATACATTAATAAAAACAATAAACAATAATTTAAATAGGAAAGGCACAGCTCTTCTGGAAGTATAATTGCTTCAGCAGATGTGCAAGAAGAGAGCCGACTTCAAGTGCCAACAAGGGTCCCCGGACAGTAAACACTCCGAGGGGCTGAGTAGCCTGGGTCTCCCATCACCAAATCACTGACATCTCCCGTCTCATTTCTTGCTTTGTGGGTGTGGGGATGCCAGTGAGCTATTCCCACACAAGACTGCCTTTGTGAATGGTACCTTCCTGGGCACAGAGAGGAGTAGCCCACATGCCACTCACATCTGCCATCTGAATCTCCTCAGGATCTAGTCGGGGGTGGCTAGGTCCATTGGCCAAGCTCCGATTCTGATGAGCTGGGCACATGTTCTGCCGAAGGTGGTTGTGCATCTGTTTCCTCTGTTTTCTGTAAGGAGGAAGGTCAAGTCATTTCACACAGAACCCTAGCATCTTCTTATCTTCCCGCTCCGTGAAGTATGGTGTAGTAGGAAAAGTCCAGGCCTGAGAACCAGGGCTAAGGGTAGGTGGAAATTCTAGTCCCAACTGCCACTAGCCAGCTATATGACCTTGGACTATAACTTTCCTTTCTCTGGGTCTCAGTTTCCTCATCTAGAAAATGGGGGGGGTGGACTACTCAATCTTTTCTGCTTTAGCAATCTACTGCTACTTTTCTATGATTTATTTCTATTATCCTTCCCTTCCAGGCATCTTTTCCCATCTGACTCCTGCAGAAAGGGGTGAGAGCAACAGATGGATTGAAGGTTCTTATAAGAACGTTCTGCTGCCCAGGGCAATAGGGCCCCCAAAGGCTATTACCTGCACCATCAGGTCCTCTGTGCCCCCATGAACATGTAAAACGATAGGCCAAATTACCCTCAAACAGTACTTGCCCCATATCATTCATCTACTCAAAACTTTTGGTTTTGAGTAAACACTGTATAGAGTTTCCAAACACCTGACATCCAAGACCCTGCACAATTTGGCTCTGGACCCCAGATTGATTGCTCTATTATTCCTCAAACATGGTGAATGCCTTCTCACTCCAAAAGTTTTATTGGCACTGAACCATGCTCCATCTGAATCTAATTATCCTTCAAGGCCCATCTCAATTCATGGAGGCTTCTCAGACCATTCTAGGGTCCACAGTGATCTCTCTCTCCTTCTTTTCTGATGGCTTATAATGCTTTTTATCGTTTGTTATCTTTCTATGTGTTTGTGCCCTTTTCTCTAGTTATATCATGAGGTCCTTAAAGGTAGTGACTATGTCTTAATCATCTTTCTCTCGCCTCACTATCACAATGCTAAGATGGTGCACCAGGAACTGTCCTTGGTCTTCCCCGGCGAAACCTTCTTCCTCCCTCTCCTCCCCCACCCTGTTCCTTGTCACTATCCTCTCTTCTTTCAGGACAGAAGGGGCCCAGGAGACCTAAAGGGGAAGGAAGAGAACTGAGGAAAACAGAGCTGTGGGCTGGGCCAGCAGCACTATGTGAAAACTCATGGCCTTAGACCTCTATGCTCCATCCCTAGCTAGCACAGAAAGGGCAGGGACCATCTAAGTGGATGACAAGGAGAGAATCTTCATATGGGCCTATGGCTTTGGTGCTAATGAGTCCTGTAGATGGATGTGAAGTTCCTCATAGCTAGATTCAGGGCCCTTAAAGGATTATTCTCCTGCTCAGGGTTATAGTTCCTGGCAGTGGCTGCCTGAAGCAGACACAACAGAGGGTGTCCGTGTGTTTCTTCAGTTTTCGGGGGACCATTTCCTTCTGCTCAGCAGGTAGCTCTGCTGGAAGGACCACCCCAAGGCAGTCAGTCCTCAGACCTCTATCTGTCCATCTGTCTGACTGGCTCTCACTCACTTGGTTTTGCAATAGGCCACCACGCAGACAATTCCGACAACGAGCAGAGCCACGCAGATCCCTGTGATAGTCAGGACCCTCTTCTGGTAGAGCTCCTCAGCTTCTGCAAGGGGGCAGGAGGGAGGCCAATTACTAGGACTGGGGGACATATGGGGATGAGCAGATCAGGACCCTAGCTACTGACTTCTGGAGTCAAGGGGAAGCTGACACACTGAGCCCCCGGTCAGCCTTGGGGAGATGCCATGGACAATGTCCAGAGAAACCTCCCAAACTCAGGGCTCTTTATCAGATTCTGCTCTTCCTTGGGTCCCTTCTAGCCTCCTGTCAATGCTCCTCCCTTCTCTCTGGAAGTATCCCCCAACTCTCTTACATCCCCTTGCACCACTACTCCTGTAGCCCACCCACCAGCCTAACACAGTCCCTCTCCCTCAACCCTCAAGCTCAGCCATTCCAGCATCTCCTCTTTTGACCCCAGTACCCTGACTTATGAGGAGGGGGAAGGGGAAGAAGAACAGTCCAGAGAAAAAAGGTGATGATGCAGCCAGGAAGCTGAGGAGTAGATGTAAGGGGGATGAGAGAAAAGAAGATGGAGACAATGACCAGAGATGGACTCAGAAGAAGCCATGGGCTAATCAGGATGCCTGGAGTGATGCTTCCAAATCCCCAGTCTGGAACCCCTATCGCAGTTCAGATAGCAGCACAACCCAGACCAACCAAAACTCTCTGGGTCTTTGACCCTCCACAATCCACCCTCTCCTCCTAGGAGTTGTTCCTAGCAGGGATCATGACTATTCTGATTTCCCTCTTTGGTTATAGCTCTGGAGAAGAGGTCTGGTTCACCCCCTAGTCAACTCCTCCTTCCCCAGATAATAAACAACAATTGTGTTTTATTCTGATCACATGAAAGGGGTGGGGTACAAGTGATGAGTGAAGGGTCCCTAGGAGGTTGGGAAAGGAGAAGGAGAACCTTAGGTCCCAGGGCAGAAGCCATCAATCCCTAAAGGATGGCCAGACTGGAAGGGTTCTGCCTGTAAGCCCTTTAGTCCCAAGGACCTCGGAAGGGCTCCTGATATATTGTGTCCCACCCTCTCCTAGTCCATGGCTGTGGGAGCTAGAGCTTCCCCTCTAGTACAGTGGATATTGTGGACATGGAGCTTGCCATCTGTCCCTAAGAACTGAGCTAGGACAAGCCTACTGGGGATCAGAACACCAAGTCTTCTCACCTAATTCAGGGCCCTGATAAGGTCTAGTTCCCAATGACTGCTGCCCTGATAGAGAACCATATGTTTCCTGGATTCTAAGCTTCTCTCTACCCAGACTGCTAAAACCTGAACTCAAATCTGACCCTTCCACTGTCTCTCACACAAGGTGAAGTATGTACACATTCCTAGGTGGAAGAAAGAAAAAGAAGACAGGGCTACCAGCTGTGTGGGGTGGAAGATTCTGGACCTGGAATTCTAGGATCAAATGTCCCATCTGGTCCCCCTGGAAGGCTGAGGGAAAAGAAGGGAAGATTCGGTCCCCCATGTTTCTCCACTAGTTCCAGGCTAGAAAACCAGTTCTGGGAGAGATCATGGATCCAAAGTACAGCAAAACTCAGCCTTCAAACTCTCACAACATTCATAGGAGATCATGTGGTATATATAAATATATAATATATATATATATATATACACACACACAGTGGTGCATATATGCATTCAAACCTATGTCTGGGCACACAGATATGCCGAGATATTTCAACACACAGAGAAAGTCTTATGTACACAGAGACATGCAGAAGTAAACCTACAATGGCAGATCCTCACTGAAATGCTCCTACATACAAGGTCAGACATACATGCATATACGTACATACAACATACAAATGTACATAGAGCTAAGCTTATAATGGAGATATGGCTACTTATACTGACATGGATAGGGACATATATGAAAGTACCTATACCTCCACATATGTGGGTGCTGCAGGATGGCAACAGGGGAAGACTATCTCCCCAAATCTGCTACCAAGAGATCCTTTTTATGCTCACAGGAACCTCTTCTGGGACCAAAATGGCTACTTTTGATGAATCCATTCTAATAAAAAACATTAACCATCCCAAATATGCATCTTTTTCAATGGTTGCAGTGTTGAGTTCTTGGACACTTAGGATGAAGTGAGTCTTAGACACAAGACCAGGTTCTCCCTGGGTGAGAGAGGCTTTTCAGCTAGATGAGATGATTTTCAAAGTCCTGTCCAACCCAAGGATTCACTCAGGGTATAGAAATTCAGGCCTTACTTCAGTAAGCAGGGTGGGTGAATGGCAAGAAGGGGGGTTAGGTACTGGGCCGAACCAGATACTCCTGGATCATCACTAGACAGACGTTAGTCAACATCCCAAACCCAGACCACATGGCTGCTAATCACTAGCACATAGGACACAAAGACAAAAAGGCCATGACTGAGTGAGATGAATCTCATAGAATCAGGGCAGAGGAATGATGAAAGAGACAGAATGATTCAGCCGGTGACCTGACACAGTATGAGAAGCAATGGGAAAGTGAGAGGGAATGAAGTAAAGAGGGAGATTAAAGTCCAGTTTAAGGGGATGTCCACCTTCTGTGGATTCCAAACACCACTTCCCAAAGTGTCTGTATTTGTACAGCTTTCTCTGAACTATGAGACCAATCCTAGCTGCAGACAGCCATGCCAGGGCTTCCTCCTCCAGGGAGAGGGTGGGTGAGGGTGGAGGGTGAGGGTGGCCCTCCTCTTAGGAACAGTCCAATGCATTGCCTCTCTCTCCTTGTATGCCTCTGATGCCTCACACCTCAGGCACTGAGGTGGGGTGGATGCCCTAAGCTAAGCAGGAGAATGTACCTTTTTCTTTCTTGTCCTTACTATCTATAAGGGCCTTGGAGATGCTAGGAGAAAAAGGCCAAGGTAAGTATGTTCTCTCCCAGCACCCCAAAGGGGATCATAGACTGCTTGGGAGTGTGTACATGTATACACATACACACATGCCATACACATGCATGCACACACATGCCCTGGTGAGGACCTTTCTTTTCCATAAAATTAATCAAGGTGATGATGTTGGACTTCCTTCCCCTTCTAGCTTCTTCCCCACCCAAACCCACGGTTAAGAGGTAGGGTAGCTGATTTTTGGAATCATCCCCCCTTTTTTTTTCTTTTGGAAAGAAAAAAAATTAATTCAGCACACATGACGCCAGGAACTGTGGGTAAGTGGGAATGGGGTCTGAGCAATAATGGAGTTTTCGTACCCTTTAATTCAAATCCAAGGTGCTCTGACAGTTCAGAAGAGAGAAGGGCCAGGAAATGTGGGGGGAGGCAGAAGGCGGGGGAAAGAGAGAGAGAGAGAGAGAAAGAGAGAGAGAAAGAGAAAGAGACAGACATTGGTCAGGGTTCTTCAGACATACTGGGCAGCCAGCCTGTGAGGTTGAAGCAAGTTAGTAGCATCCCCTCCCTGCCCCCTTAGCTCCCTCCCCTTCACCTCCCTGCCCCCCAAGAACCCCTGAGGGGGCTGGAGAGAGGAGAGGTTAGAGTCAGCAGGCAGGCCAGGTTCTTTATAGATGAGCCATGTTGGTTAGTACCTGGTGGGGAGGCAGAGGAGGCAGAAAAGTCAGTTGGTGAATGTTGGGAGGGGTGTTTCTTGGGGAGGGGAAGGGACACAGAGAGGATGCCTGCCTCAGGAAGGGAAGTTGGGAGGAGAGGGGAGCCATGCCTCAGCAGTAGCAGGCCCCTGGAGATGGACAGGTGCATGGATTCCATTTTTCTTCCTTTACCTTCTCCCTGAAGCTGAATTTAGCCCATCTTCCCTTATCATCAGAGACAAGTATGTAAAGAGCACCTGCCCTCTGTCCCTGTCCCTGTCCCAGTCTCATGTGCATTCCCTCATACTTGTGTGTACAAGATTGTCCTTCTCTCCCCCATATGTCTGTGTCCTCAAACTAATGGGCAGATGAGACCCATCTTCAAAAGGACGAGTTCAATTTTTTTTTTAACCAGCAAAAGCATTTTTTTTGCATTTGTCAAGACACATGTTTTAAATAAAGGAATTGGGACACAGAAATATCTTGAATGTATACCCCCATCGAGAAGGCTTGATTATCTTCCTGACATCATCATATCTGACTAATATATCCATTTATAGTCACTCTAAGGTTGACAAAAACAGTTTCCTTACCCAATGAGGTAAGCAAGGCAGGCATTATTATCTCCATTTTTTTAGATGAGGACCAAGCTAGATCTGAGCCTCAGGAGAAAAAAAAAAGCAGGATACACTGTAGGGAACTCCCCCAGGGGCCTGGAATTCTTTAAGTAGCTGTCCTGCTCTCCCCACATCCAGAATAGCCACTAGTGGCAAGACCGGTGACTCATTCCACAATCAGAGGGATAAAGACTGCATCTGCAACTTCATCAGCTCCCTCTACCAACAGAGGTCAGCATTCGCCCATAACACTGACAGGTTAGGAAGATTGCCTAGGGTCCCACAGCCAGGATGTGCCTGAGGCGGGTTGTCCGGGCTCTGAAACCAGCTCTTTCATTCACAGCACTGTCCTGCCCCACTCTGATCACGTTCAGGCTCATTGTGGGGGATTCTGTTCTCTACGAGCTCCAAGAGCTTTTGCCAACTTGACGCAGCAGTGAATCAGCAGCAGTAGCTGGGTTTCCGAAAGCCAGGACATTTCCCAGTCACTTAAGTTTTCCAAGCCTGTAGAGATGCCCCGTTAGCAAGGTTATGGAGAAGATTCCTTCATGGGCTAGAATCATAGAATTTCAAGGGGGGGGGGTCAGACGCCTAGGCCATCTAGTTTTACCTGGACCTGGACAGGAATCCCCTCTACAATGTAGGTGACATAGTGCTTGTCCAGATTTTCCTTGGAGACTTCCCGTGAGAGGGCTCCTTCTACGCCTCCCTAGGCAACCCATTCCCATTTGGGATTATTGCAATCATTAGCAGTTTTTCTTTGCCTCCACTTAAATTTGTCCCTAAAGCTTAGGCCCATCGCTCCTGCTTACTTATTCCTTCCGTGGCAAAGCAGAAGCGTATTCTCTTTTCTCCATGAAGATCCTCCAGATACTTGGAGGGAGCTGTCATGATCCTGTCATCTCTTCTCCAGATCCAACTTCTTCAATAAATATTCAGGTGGAACGAACCTGAAACCCTTCACCGTATTGACTGCCTCTCTGTAGATCCTGCTTGTTCATTAATGTGCTTCTTAAAATGTGATGCTCAAAATCAACACATTATCTACAAGAAGTAATCTTACCAGGGGAAAGTACTACCACCCTCCCTAGTCCTGGACTTTATGTCACTTTCAGTGTAGCCTAAGACTATGTTAGCTTTCTGATCAGTCCTGTCACACTGTTGATTAAACATACCAAAGTGGAGGCAGCTAGGTGGTTCAGTGGATAGAGCGCTGAGCCTAGAGTCAGGAGGACCTGAATTCAAATCCAGCCTCAGACACTTACTAGCTGTGTGACCCTGGATAAGTCACTTATAACCCCTGTTTGCCTCACTTTGTTCAAATGTAAAAATGTGGATAATAATACCATTTATCTCATTGAGTTGTCTTGAGGGTCAAATGAGAGAATGTTTATAAAGCATTTAGCATAGTGCCTGGCAGATAGCAGGTACTGTAGAAATGCTAATTCTCTTCCTCTCTCCCTCACCCTCCCCAAGTCACTGGATAAGGCTGGCCTATGTGACTTTTAAGCTCTTTTCCTATTCTAAGAATCTGTGATTCTAAGTCCAGTGTGGGTTCCTGCCCCAGGCCCAGCTCCAGTTCTTCCTCCAGAAGCTGGAGCCTCCCACTGGGCTGAGCTGCCTACGTAATATTCTCCACAAAGGAGAAGGAATTTGGCATCTTTACCAATGGGTACAAAGAGCCCGTCTGCAGAGGAACAAGGCAAGTTGTCCTTTCAGTAAGGTGAGGGTTTAAATGAGAGGTCCTCCACTTTGTTCTCAGAGTCTGCCTCTGGCTAGGGGCAGAATCTACAGAAGAATCTGGTTGGAACTATAAGCTGATGAAGGTTTCTGTGGCTGCAGCTGAGACTGAGGGAGGGAGCTTGATCCAAATGCTAAGCATTACCTAGATCACAGACTAGCTAAGCTGAGCTGAGAACAGCTTCTTACTGCAATGGTGGAAGCATCTGGTCCCTGCAACCATCCCTTCAGCTCCAAAGGAAGATGCTAGCCTCTAATGGCAATGGATCTCTGAAAATGAGATTCCTTCAGTCGCTACACTGTACCCTTGTGAGGGGCAGGGGTAGGGTCCTAGCCAAGTTTTGCTGCAGTAGTCTCTCTAGACTGGTCCTCTAGAATAGAATGTCAGGGTTTAGGGCTTCAGAACCATGAAGAAAGGATATGGGGAAAGGACAGATCTTCTGAGTATAGCAATTCTGTGCTTTCCCAGAAGGCTCTCAGTTTCAACCCACCCATTTCTGGATGGGTGAAGGCCAGTTAGGAACGTTTTTGTAGTTCCTCCTCTTTCCTTTCTGGATCAGCTCCACCAACAGGAGTTCAGGGTAGGGACAATGGAAAAGGATAAAAGATACTTCATATCATCTTCCCTCCAAATCAAGCCCTTGGTGTACCAGAGAAGGGTTAATCTGCTATTCTTCACCCTCATCATCTAAAGAAATCCTGGTCCACATGTCTCCCAAGAAATTAAGCCTTAGAGGAATCATTCTGGCCCCTCCTGTTTCCCCTTTTGTATGGAGAATTCCATGGGGCTTTGACTCTAGATTTTGGGGTGGAGGCAAGGGAGGCTCTAAGTATTCTTGTGATAGAATAGGGGGCTGAGAATAAGGAATATGACTGTTGCAAAGAGAAGGCTCTGAGACGGGTTGGGGGGTTGGGCCATAATCCGGATAAGTCAAGCACAATTTCCATGACTGGGGAAACTCTTGACAGTGATATGAATGACAGGGCTTGGCTATATCAGACACTGAAGTTCTAGTGGGGTGAGATGGGGTGAACACCACTGGCCCACTTGAATATTGGATTAAACCTCTAACCCCAAAAGTAGTTCCTTAACCTGTCTTTTTCAGTCTTCCTGCTTCCCCAGCCTTGTGGCTCAAGAACGGATCATGAGGTCATAAGGAACATTGCCTGGTTGGGACCTGGGTTCCAATGAGGAGAAATCAGGAATCACCCCCAAAGCATCACTACCTTGGGAAGCTGCCTCATACAGTTCTGTGGGCTCACAATCTGACCAGAGATATGTAGCAAGAGAATTAATGCTTCTAAGACTCCTTATAGGAATCTAGGCAAGCATGTACTCCGTATGAAGTGGGAAGATTGGAGTTTTTGTGTCCATGGTTCTTTGGAATTCAGGACATTCCTTCTTTTGCCAGCACTGGCTTGCCATGTCCAGCAGCTCAGGGGTTTCCTCGCCCCCTTTCTTTCCCCTGACCTAAACTCCATTATCTTGAGCTTTCCACCACTAAGCACAGACAGGAAAGTCCAGATACCCTCATGATTTGGGTTGCCCAGATGATTGTTACATCAGCTAGATGCAGAGGGGCAGGGAGGACCCTCATGACCCTGGAGAGTACAGTGTAAGACACTGGAAATTCCTTCCTGCCCCATTCCGGAGCCTTATCCAGTGGGAACTGGGGTGTTCCAAGTAGCCTCAGAGCTCTCATTCTCTTTGAATATCAAAGGGAATGGGAGAGTTCACTTCAGAGAAAATAAGGAACTCTGAAACACTGGTAGCCAATGCACAGACCTGGAGGAAGCACAGGGGATCAGTAAACTCACAGGATTTTAGAGCTGGGGAGATCTTAAGAAATTCTCTGGTACAATCCCTTGCTTTCAAACAGGTGTGGAATTATCAAGCCCCATTTTACAAATGGAGGTAACTGAGACCCAGAAAAGCTAAGTAACTTGGCCAAGGTCAATCAGCTAATAAGTGAAAGAGGAGTAACTGACTAGAGCTTAGGTCTCCTGTCTCTTTTAGCCAGTCCTCTCTCCATTATAACAGGTGACCACCTTGGGAAAGCAACTGAAGCATGAGCCGAGAGGGGAGGAGGCCTGAACACTCAATCCTGAGAACAGGCCCAGGGACCAGTAGTCTCTGAGCTTTGGATAAGGCCAATGTCCATGGGAACAGATTGATTAATACTCATAACCCAAGGCTGAGCTATTTCTTACACTATAATATGCCCAGATAAGCCTTTAAGGTCTGAAAGGGCCATACTGGAGATCCAAGCCCCCCAAGGTCTCTTCTGGGACTGAGAGGTAGCCCAGAGCAGAGGTCTGAGTGCTTGTGAGAGTGGACTTAGCCAACCGTCATACAGATGACATTACTTCACACACCCAGAGCAGGCTGGTTTGTACAGAGTAGCCACGTTTACCTTTAACGGTAAAAACAACAACAAAAACCCCCTGAAAAATAAAAAACAAAAATGAAAAAACCCAACCCCAAAACCTTCAGACCACACACTGCAATCTAAACATGGTGCCTGGATTCACTGCTTGGCCTTTCCCTGGCTGGTACCTACCATATAGGACCATAGCATGCAAGTTGCATGCAAATTGTTTTCAGCAGGGAATTTCCATATTGACCAAAGCAACTCAGAATGCTAGGGCACGCATGTCAAATAACATGCAAATGAACCACTTTGCTCATGCCCTCGGGGACAAAGGCATGAAAGCCAGGAAGCTGAGAGAAAACTGTGTGATGGACACTGGCTGGGGAACATGGGTCTCTCTGCACAGGAAACCAATTGGGATGCAGATGGGAATGGTTCCTGTTTGTGCTTCCAGAAGGATGAAGGGTTTGAGGAGTGAGGGGGTCACTGCACCTGGGGAGCTTTGAAGCATCAGCTCCTATTTTTTTTCCCTTCAGGCCTCTGGATAAGCCTTTTGAGAGACAAAGTCAATCCAGGGAGGTAACTTTTCTTTGGGTGGGAACATGATAGGCTGCAGTTGAAGTGAAAGAATGCAAAGCTGGACCCAGTGGTCAGGAGGGAAGATTTCAGATAGCCTGGTAGACTCTTGACTCAGCTTTGTGGGAAAGGGCTGCAGCTCACATCACTTTTCATCTAGGCCTTCCGGGGTCATAGGGTCTCAAATTTAGGTCTGGAAGGGATTCTGGAGAGCATAGGATCGAAGTCATTTGCTCCAACTCCTCCATTTTACAGATGAGGAAATGAAGGCTCAGAGAAGTCATTGGATCGTAAAATCATAGCTATTAGAGCTGGTAGGGACCTTAGAAATCAACAATCCAACCCCTTCATTTTACAGATGAGGCAACTGATGCTTAGAGAGGTCAAGTGACTTGCCCAAGATCACAAAGCTAGTGTCTATCAGAATTTGAACCCAAGTTTTCCTATATCCTCTACACCATGCTGTAAAAGAAAGGATATAGGCATTGGGCACTTTAATTAACTGCTTGCCCAAACTAAGTTGCCAAGGGGCCATTGGCAGGGTCACAATAATTCAACAATGTAATTGCTAATCCAATGAGTTAGTGATAGCATTTTGAAAGGTGTAAGTCAAAACACCAAAGGTAAAACAAGATTCTCTATTACTAATTAATCTTTTACTTCCTGCAAGCAACATAGATGAAAAGCTCCAATTCCTAAGTGCTCTTGTTTTTATTCTGGAAGTGAGTATTTATTGAAGGAGGGAGGGGAGACGGAGGCAATGGTGAAGAGTGGCCCAGTGTTTTTTACTGGAGCTGAGGCTTACTGGGGAAAAAAAAAGCTTGGGATCTTGCTGAAGGACCTCACCCAGCTTCAGATGACATCAGCTCCCTAAAAAAATGCCCTCTAGTGATGAGTGGCCCGATTGAGAGAGCCCAGCTCTGAGAGAATCTCTTCCCGGACATCCCTGTGGATGATCACTCGACCTTTACTTAAACAGTATTGGGGAAGGGTAACTCACAACCCAACCCACTTTTGGACAGCTCTCACCATCGGGGAAGGTTTTCCCAACATCAAGCCCAATTTTCTTTTTTTCCTACCCACTCTCTAGTGGCTCCTAGTTCTTGCTCCTGAGGAGGGTCTAATCCACGTCCATCAAATCCTAGAGAAAGCCATCATGCCTTCTCTCAGTCTTTTCTTGGTTAAACATTCTCCTCTCCTTAACAGAGCTTCAAACAGCATGATCCTAAAGGCATTTACCACCCTGACTGCTCTCCTCTGAATGCTCCATCTTGGCAATGTGCTTATTAAGCTGTGCTACCCAGAAGTGAACACCAGATCAGAGGAAGACAACCATCCTGGCTCAATAGCCCAGGGTTCTGGATGTGATGTCTCTCTAAGGGCAGCCAAATGTTGCATTATCTTTTCTTTTTGTTTCCATGTTCTACTGTTGACTCATTCTGAATTGTCAGGCCCCTAAAATCCCTAAGATTATTTTCATATAGTATGGCCAGTCTACCTTCATCTTTCCCTTTTTGTATTTAGGTAAAAAAAAAATCAGCTTTCAAGTGGAGGACCTTATCTCTATGAAATTACATTATTTGTCTCTATTAAATTTAATATTATATATATATATGTCATATGTAATATATATTTAATAGTTCCATTGTTTATTAAATTAATACATTTAATTTATTAAATTTCATTATTATTAGAGTTGCCCCATCATCAAGCCTACCGAGATATTTTTGGATCCTGACTGTCCTCTGTCCCTCCCAGATTGATAACATCTACAAATCTGATAAGTCATTTTGGGCTTTATTCATATCATTGGTAGAAATGTTAATTAACACCAAGCTAAGGCAAATCCATAAGGCACTCTCCTGTAGACCTCCCTTCAAGCTCACATCCCATCATCAATAATGACTCTTTGGGTCAATCCACACAGAATTGTCCTGTAACAGAGAGGCCTTGACTCCTATACCCTAACCTTAAGGGCTGCTGCTTAATGACCTGATTGGTCTGGGAGACGGTTGTTCTAAAAAGTTCCCAAGCTAGAGAGACTCTGGGTTCTGAGGAATAAAAAAGAAATATGGCTTCCTTCTCCTTGTCTTATGTCTCTAGATCATCTCGGTCAGGGGAGAGCATGTTCCCCAGTCCTCCTATCTCTAAATTCCTTCATATTCCTGGCATTCTATCCTTAGAGAAGTTTGAGAGTCTAGGATATTCATTTCCACCACACAGTCCTGCCTAGCTGCTGCTAGGGTCTCCCTCGGAATCAACACAGGCTCGTCAGAGAGTGGCTCAGCACCCACTCATCCGTCCTGTTCTCTGCCTTCAGCCCTACAACCTTAGAGGGAGCTGGAAAGACAAACCTCTGCAGAGATCCCTCAGGACAATAGCCACAGCTGGTCTTAGGCCCTGCTAAGGGCATACCTTGTACCTCAGTCTCTCCCACAGTGCCTAACAGTGTCTGCAGTTCCATCATTATCCTCTCTGGACTGATGCCTTTCTTAAAATGCAGACAGTGCTTGGAGAGGTAACACATTAGGTTCACTTATTCCTTTTGATAAATGAATTCATTAGAAGCTTTCCTTCCATGATAGGAAAGACCAAGGCACACTGGGCCTGGGGTGATGGATGGAGGGTGAAGGAAAGAAAGTATGTGGGAAGGGTCACTATAAGAGGAAGAGAAGGTACTGAAAACAAACCTCCCTGATTTTTCCTCCCCTGTTTATTGAGGAGTCAAATAGTTTTTCTGCCTTTAGTCCATCTCCACCTTGTGGCCGAAGAGAGAACTGACCCACAGTGCCAAATCAAATACTCCTAAGCAATGCTGGCCCCTGGGCTCAGATTTTTCTGCAAACCATGGAAAGAATAAATTTCTGCATTTGAGAGAAAGGAAACAGAAGAAAGTCCTGATGGGGTTTCTCCCCTGAGACACTGCTAGAGATTCCTCATCTAGCCCAGGGGTTCTTAACTTTTTGTGTGTGTGTGTCATGGGCCCCTCTGGCAATCCAGGGAAACCTACGGACCTTTTCTCAGATATAATGTTTTTAAATAATTGAACAGAACACTAAATTTCAATGGGAGGTAAGTGAAATTAAAATGTTGCTTTTTCTCCCCCATCCAAGCTCAAAGTCCCCAGAAACCTATTTCCCAGGTTCAGAACCCCTGATCTAGCCCATAAGATGTACCTCCCTCAACTACCTCCTGTGAAAATGTCTGCAGATTATGCAGAAAATGTCTGCTCTAAGTCCTGGTCATAATCTTCAGGCCTCTCTTCTCATAAGCTTTCAGGCCTGAGTGGAGCCTTCCAAACAGTCCTTATACTCAGCCCTCCCTGCCCACTGGCCTTGTACCCTGTGAGCTATTCCTCCCTAGCATCTAGAGAAAGTTGCTCAAGGCTTGTCTGTCTCTTATTTAGACAGAACCACTTGACTTCAGTGAAGTGCTGACATCTGAAGTGGGCCAGTGAGGGTTGATCTCTGTGGGGATCATGAAGAGAATGAGGTTATCCCCCATTTGAGACACAGGAAGTACTGTTAGGAGGAAGGAACAGCAGTAAGAGTGGTGGTGAGGGGCATGTTTTGGTCTTTTTTTTTTAAATTCCTGTTGGTTCTGAGCATTTACAGGAGCCCAAGACACTGGCCTGCTCCCTTTCCTCCCCCCATAAGAGTATGCCTCTGACTTCCTAAGTAAGGTCCCCTCCCTCCCACAAGGGCGACAGTCACCAGGGAAGAAAAGAAATAGAAGAAAGAGACATACTGGAGAAGTTGACCATTGCGAACTGCTGACACCTGTCCCCGGTGTATCCCACAGGACACCTAACAAAAGAAAGAAAACCAGAAAGAGAGAACCAGGATAGCAAGACATGGGCATCTCAGCAGCCCTGCATGGCTCCTGCCCATGCCAGCTCCAATCCTTGCCAACGTTACCACGTGTCCTGGCCTTGCCACTCTATCCCCTTACCTGCAACCCTAAACTTTCAACCCAAGAATTAGGCCAAAAATGAAAAACAAAAACAAAACAAAAAAACAAAAACAAAAAATAAGGCAAAAAACAGAAACAGAAACAAACAAAAAAAAACAACAAAAAAACAGCCAAAGATCATAACAACCAACACCCCTGGTCCTAGTACCCTACATGGAGGTGGGGAGAGGGGAGGGGTGGAGCTGCACCCAGGAGCTTTCTAAGGGAGGGGGGACTTTTGTTTGTGTCTTCAAACATACTTTGCTTAGGATCTGGCATGTACAATCGCAAAGGCAGTTTCTCCAAACATCTCTGTCCGAAGAATCCATTTGGACATCTGGAGAAGGAAAAGGGGACAAATCACAGAACAAACCGGAATCATCCACGAGGCTAAGGTTAGAAATCAAAGTGCATAGTGATGAATGAGAAAAATCAAGTTAGGCACTCGGTGTCACACCTGCAGCAAAGGGGGCCAGGGGAGGGGGGAAGGAAGGAAGGAAGGGGAATCTTGTGGGTGTTTGAAATTTCATTTTCCATCCTGCTAACAGAGGCCTCTGTGTTTTCCTAGGGAGATAACTGAAGAGATTGCTACTCTAGGGTTTCTTGAAACTTTCTTGGGGGATCTAGGGGTTGGGGATGGGTAGGGAGACTGGCTTGGTGACCTTCATGAATTGGTGGGTGTATCAGGGGCAGGAGCCTCAGGAAATGCCCAAAGTGTGGGGACAACATCCCTTTGCCTCCTGTTTTGTCACCCTCCTTATAAAACTGCTCTGAGATCAGAGGTCTCTTTACCTGGAATGGCTTCCAGAAGAAATTTCCAGAGCCAGTGGCTACAGGAAAAGTTGAGTCTAGAAGGGAAGTGGAAGAGCTGATGAAAAACTACTCTCAAATACACCTTGTGCTTCATTGAGGTGTTCTCTCTGTGATCTGTCACTAACCCTGGAGAGCTGGTTGGCTATTGAAGAATGGGAATGGGAATGTCTTAGTCCTGCAAAGATATAGGGTCACTGGAAGGGTTGGGCGAGCCCCTGACCTACTGGCCTCTCGGAAACCATGCCTTTGCTTTCCTCACTTACCTATATCCTTGTCTCCCTGGTTCTAGATCACTTTCCTCTCTGGTAGTACCCCAAGGGCTCCCCTCTGACTCCTCTATGACCACATTGTCTCCATAATATGCTTTTCTACTCTCTGGCTGCTGCTTCCTACCCCTCTGGCAGGAGACTCCATCCTTGCAGGTTTTAAAGGGATGGTCACATTAATCGGATTCCTATCTTTTGGCTCTCAGAAAGTCTGGGAGCATGCTGGGAGTTCTAGTTGTACTTTCCCCCTGACTAAGGTTGGGTTTATGCCCTTCCATCTTGGATCAGTCACCCAACTTTGCCCTGGGACCTGAGCCCCAGAGGATTACAGTCTTCATGTTTTAGTTTGTGTTTATGTTAATAGTAACAGGCTATGAGTTCAACATTAGCCAGAGGGCCTGGAAAATGTCTGGTTTTCAGACAAGAAAGCTTTTGAGGGGTGAGTATACCTTTGATTTTGTGGCAGACAGGGTAGGTTACACTGAAGATGTTCTAGTGTTTTGGTTTATTCTAACCATTATCCAATTATCTAGCCCTTCAGGCTATGATACAAATCCAACAGAAAGCCTTGAATCCAGCCCAGCTAAAAAATGAGGTCTCCCCCAGACAGTGAAGAAGAATCAGTGGAGGCAGTAAGGCTGGAAAAGGGACCTCTTGGGTTCCTTCAGGATGTCAACTGCCCAGGCATTCAAACACTTGCTGTTAGCCCTACCTTTATGGACAGGGGCAACAGATGAGTGAGTAGAAAGAGTCAGGTTATATGGGATCAGTTACGATTCTTTGTATTTGAATCTTCAATCCTACCAAACCTGAGGCCTCAAAACACTTTGAAATCGGCCCCAATTCCAAAATCCCCTCCTCTGCCCCAGGAATTGGCTGGGGAGCAAGAGTCAAGGATTTCTCATGCTCATGGGAATGGTACAGGAATTTGGAGGAAGGAAGATCTGGCCTATGGTCGTATCATAGAATGTGAGAGTTGCTTTGAAGGTTTTCTTGCATGACTTCTACCTGAAACATGACTCCTTCTATGACCTATCTGAAGAGTGATCATTAATGAGGCCTCTGTGTGAACCCCTCCTGAGGTTGTCCTAGCATTCCACATATTGAACTCAAATCTGTCTTTTTATAAGGAAATGTTGCCAATTGATTTTAACTAGTTCTGCCCTCTGGAGCCAAATAGCATCCCTCTTCTACATAATGTCCTTTTAAATATCTGAAGATAGCTATCATGCCTCAACTAAGTCTCCCTTCTTCTTGAGGCTAAATATCCCCAGTGACTTCAAATGATCCTAACATGAAAACAGGGAAGAAAGAAGGTAGCTGTTCCCTTCTAGGACACTAGCTCTGATCTGGCTTCAGACATGGGGCATCAACAGCTGCTGTTTTCCTTGGACAATCTATACCAAAAACAGCATTGAAATGTTTATCAGACCCCCAGTGAAGAATGGAGTAGAGGATCCTGGATGAGGGTGGGATATATATCTGTGGCCTAACCTTTACTTAGACCAATACCAGGGCATGCCAGTCCCACGATAATAATGTGAATAATAAGAAGAAATAAGCTCTAGGTTGAGGAGGGGGGAGGCAATTTCTATGCAACTCCTATTCAAACATGGATTTCTGCTTCCAAGTTTGGGGGCCATAGAGTATCACATATTGCAGCAGCAGATCACAGCACCTTCCTCCCAAGGGCATCAGTTCTAAGGATGTAAAGATCAGTTCACTGAAGTGGGGTGTCAGCTGGTCAGATAGATGCCTACCTGGGTTGGGGAATGGGGTGTGTGTGTGTGTGTGTGTGTGTGTGTGTGTGTGTGTGGTGGGGATTAAGTTAGGGAGGTCCCAGGTGCTGCAAATCTGTAGTGACAGAGAGGTTGCTATTTTATTTACTGGGGTTTAGTGGAGCGAGGAAATGGAGGACCTGAGTTCTGATCCCACCATGGGCTGGCTCCAAACCCTTCCTTCCCCCCCACCTCCCCATGCCTCAGTTTCTCCTTTTGGTAGCCTGGGGATAATGCCACATGTACCGCTCTCCCCTTGGGGGGAAGGGGATAGAGTGGAAGGATGGATTAATGAGGGCCCACACTACAGGCATGATGAATGGGGGGCCAGGAATGAGGAGACGGGTGAACAGGAGGGTGTGTTTTGGGGGAAGGTGATCCATGGCAGCTGAGCAGGCAAATAAGGATAACACAGTGGGGGGAGTACTAGGGTTGGGAGGTAGGGTAGGAAGAACAGACACAAGCTATGGGAAAAGGCAGGAATGAGCCAATGATAGTGGTGGGGACATGCCGCTAGTATGTGCACAGGGCTGAGAAAAGAGCCTTGTTCTGTCATCATCCCCTGAACCAGTCCCCGAGATGCATGCACCAACTGTGCTCTACAAAAAAAAACACGGAGAGAAGAGGAGAAAGCAGCAAGAGCAGGTGCGGAGGCCCTCATCTAAGGCAAAAGGGACACAAGGAACTTGTCTGAAGCCACATTTGCAAATTTCCCTAACTGCGGATTTTTAAAGCAAAATTCAATACCAATGACAATGTTTCTTTCCATCAGACTTTTTCTGGGGGTGTGGGGGGCAGGTTCTAAATTCTATAAAAACTGGCGGGGTGGAGCATGTGTGCACTCCAGAATTCCCCATCGTGCTCAGAACCAGTATAAAACTCAGGTAAGAGAACCAGGATGGAAACCTGACTGCCATATCAACACAAACGAAAATGACCTGTCTAGTTTCATTGTCCAAGCTGAGCAAAATGCAAAAAACAAAAGTAAACAAACAGCACAAATGGCAAGACGTGAGTTCAATTTCCTGAATTCTTCAAATCTAAGTTACATTCAGGTGCCATTAGTCACCCCAGAGGCTGCTTATCCTTCCCTCCCAGACAGCCCTCCTCCCACTTCCACCCCCAGAATGGTCTCTGGGCTCTGCCCTGTGACCACCTCCACCCAAACCCCCAAGTAGAGCAGTGTGGCCTCCTCATTTCTCCCCCACAGAGGACTAACTCTATGAACAGCATAGTCCTAAGGATGGTTTCTGATGGTCAAGGATTCCTTCCATCCATATGAGTAGCCCATGCTCCCCACCCCCCGCTAGGGCAGGCCAGGGTTAGGTCAGAAAGGGAGCCAGCCTGGTTGTACACAGTGAACGGCCCATTGGGCTGGACTAGGCTGGGAGGTGTTTGAGAAATCTAATTATTCCAAATCATGCAGCCTGGTGGGGCTGAGTGTAAGGTGAGGAGGACATGAGCTAGCCTTTATCTATAAGGTGGCATGGAGTGGAGGGAGCTGAGGTCTTGAGATTCAATAAAGTGAACCTTAATTCCCTCAAGTCTGGCATCTGAAACACTGCCCATGGCCTAGGGGCGGGGGTGAGGGTAGAGAATGGAATGCCGACCCGGGGTAAGGAGAAGATGCCTGCTCTCCAACCCACTCTGTCTTAGCTTGAATACTTCAGGGAATGTGGCCTTAGTATTGGAATCCCTATTGACTCCATGACCTTCATTCCTTGGACCAATTCTTTTTCACAGCTTTGGCCATTCCAACCTATGAACAAAATCAAAGGGACTCATCTTGCTCCCTGGGTCTCCCTAGACTTTAGTACTGGGGGGTTGGAGGAAATGAGAAAGAGACTAGACACCTGCCCCAGGTGACTTCACCTGTCTAAAGAGCAAGGGTTCGGTTCCTATGACTTTTCCAGACCCCTTCCAGCTTATGAGTTTAAATGTCACAAGGACAAGGCATTAGAGTTGTGGGATTGCTTTTGGCCTACTCTCTTTATCCTTTCGAAAGAACCCTATTGCTAAGGTTCTTGGCCCCCCAGAGCATAGGCTAAGCATCCTGGTGGGTGTCTCTATCACATTCACTCCAAAGAGCTCAGAGTATTGTACAAACTTGAATGTTTTTAGCCAGGAAGTCTTCCTGTTCCTCCAAAGCATCCTATCACTGTCATCTCCACTACCATACACCTTCTGGCTTGGAGGGAGGAAAAGAGGTAGAGTCTGGGTTCAGGGCTTGGAACTGCTCTCTCTATCTAAGCCTAAGTAACAGATTTCTTGGTCACTGATATTTCAAGGCCAGCATGTTGGGTCATGACCTCCGGGGGGTAGGCAAGTGCTCCAGAGAGCCTCCCAAATCTGGTTCAGGCAGAGAAGCCAAGCTTCTTTGCCCCCAAACCATCTTCCAGAGTTTAACTTCCCTGTCCAACTCCTAGCCTCTCCTACTTTATACCATAGTCTGAGATCAGAGGTGGTTCGATTGCTCTCCCCTTTTAGCTGAGGTTCTCCCTTCCATGATGTCCTGATAATCTGGGGACAGGAGGTTTTGGTCTCTGCCCTTAAGTTGTCTTTCTATTCCGGATGGAAGAGAATATTCCAGAGAATATTGTAAGTAAGGAATTCTCTGTTCTAGAATCAGGCAGGCTGGGATCATGGTGCACCTAAATGTTCCTAATATGTTTTCTTCTGACCATAAACTGGTTAAGTGAAATGGGAAAGGGAAGAGGTATCAGAATGGGCCTTACATTCAAAACCTTGGGAGAGCAGGGTCAAAATTCACTCCAGAGAACAAGAGGAGGGCACTGGTCCCAAGGGCTTCTGGTCTGAGAGATTGCTCCACACTGCACATCTCCAACAGGCCAAGGACCTCCCTGATTGGCTGCTTGTCAAACCACTCCATGTGCTGGCAACTGAGTAATAATAAGAGTGATAATAATAATAATGATGATGATGATAGCTAGCATTCATGTAGCACCTACTATGTGCCGGGCACTATGCTAAGCACTTTACAAATGTTATTTCATTTGATCCTCACAACAAACTTAGGAGGTAGCTGCACTCTTATCCCCATTTTGTAGCTGAAGAAACTGAGGCTAACAGAGATTGAGTGAGTTGCCCAGGGTCATATACATAGTCAGTATCTGAGGCTGGATTGGAATTCAGGTCTTCCTGATGCCAGGAAGCCATCCTAGCTGCCTCCCTAGCAGGATGTATGGGGGTGTGTGGTGTGAGGATGGGACAAAACTTTGTAATTAATGCATGGAGATAGAAGGGCTCCCTTAAGAACCTGCCTTCTTGTGTACCTGCCCTGCCAGGCTTTGCCCCAGGAAAAATCTCTTGTTTCTTAAATGGTGACCACCTGTTCTTGTGGAGTAGAGATGAATTTAGATCTAAGTCTGAGAGCTAAGGTTGGGATGGGTGAAGCAAAGACGCAACCTTAGCCTTCCTGTGAGAGGCCTTGGTGGCATGAATTTAAATCATGTCTCATATTTCTCTCTTTCTTGCCACACTCCTGATGCCCTTGTCCAGATGTTTCAAATGTGGTAAGACTTTCCCAGTGACAAATTTGTACCCCTCACTGGTACCTAAGGCTAGGACTAAATGTGCACTCCGTTGCTCCAAAACTCAGGCCTCTCTCACTTACTGTCTGGGCTATCCAGCCACGAGCCTTAACCAAGATGTAAGCAGGCAAAACGACTAAATAGTGTTGGAGCACTAGCTTCTCAGCCAAGAGCTTCCCTTGATGTATTGACTGACCTCCCCCCGCCCCAATAAAAGTCCTCCCTGTTTATCTGGGCCTCAGTGACTTCCCAATCCATCCTTGGGCTGACTTGTGTGCTATGAGCTCCTTGGAGATCTGTGTTTGAGAGACACCCTCTGTGCTGGGGCTAGTGTTGTCAGTCCAGAAAAGAGGACACTAGCCAAAAAAGCCAGTTGAGGATGAGGCTAGGGAGGGGCAAGGCTCAGGTCATGGATTAAAAGTCCTTTCCCTTTTCTTCTTTCTCAGCATCCCTATTTTTCCATTCAAAATGTAGCCCCTTCTCTCAGGAAATATCCAGGTCAGTTTCCAACATGACTCATATCCTGGTGGGAGGTTGACTTTACTGACCCTTGGTCCTTTTGTCCCATCCCACAATATACAGATTGGGGTGGGGGGTGGGCATCTATAAGGGTCAAGTGGCACTATGATTATTAGGCCACTCTCCCTCCCTCCCCTCCCCTCCCCTCCCCCCTCTTTGCAGTAAATACAGGGTGAGGGACCCTTCCTCAAGCAGGGAAGCAACCAGGAGATGCAGATTCTGGCTCCTGGAATTCTTCCTGCTCCTTCACTTCTGTGCTAATGACTCCCTCTTCACCTCTAGGGAGAGAGACACTCTAGGGCTTATCAAACACTCAGCAAGAGCAGAAGGCAGCAGAGATGCTGAGACAGAGACAGAAAGAGAAGCCACTGCCCACATGGGGAGCCAAGGGGCAGCCCTACGGGGGGAGGCCCTACTGAATAGAAACCAGTGGAAGAGGAATTCAGGGAGGGAGGGAAGGAAAGGGAAACAGGGACTCCAGGAGCCCTGAGACCCACATGTGACACAGACATCTCCCCAAGCTTCCAGGAGGAATCTTTGGCTGGGTGCAAAGGGACTGAGGGATGAATCCGACCTACCTCTGAATCCCCAACATGGATATACCAACAACTGCTTTGAGCTGAGCCTCAGCAGGGAGGGTAAGAAAGCCCTTAGGGCTTGCCCAGCACCGCTTTTGGAGACCCTCCCTTCAATACCCCACTACACAAGCTCCTGGCCTCCCTTCCCCTCCCCCCCACCCCCTCAGTGCCCAGGCACACCGCTCACTTACTTGCAAGACAGCTGATTGATGCCCTCAATGTAGTAGCAGACGCCCCCATTGACACAGTAAGACTTGGCAGTCTCGTTGCATTTCCGAGCATGCCCAGACCATGACGAGAGGGTGGTGGCCACTAGAAAGGGGAGAAATATAGAGAATGACACATCGTTACTGTAGCTCCCCTTCAGAATGCATCACCTCAGGGAGTCAGCTAGGGGTAGGGGGAGAAGGAAGGGAAAAAAGCATTTATTAAGCATCTATTATGTGCCGGGCACTGGGCTGAGTGCTTTACAAATATCTCATTAGATCTTCACAACAACCCTGGGCTGGAAGAGTGGTGCTATTATGCCATTCTGGGCAGGTCACTTAACTGCTGTCTGCCTCAGTTTCCTCATCTGTCAAATGAGGGGGTTGGCTTCTCAATGGGTGGGGGAGGGGCTAGAGAGAGGGCAAGAAGTTGGAACTGAAAATAAAAAGATCCTCCCATTCTCATCCCCCCATTTCACAGTTGAGGAAACTGAGGCAGACAAAGGTTAAGTGACTTACCCAGAGTTCACACAACCAGTATATGTTAAAGGCAGGACTTGAACCCAGGTCTTCCTAACACCAAGGCCAGCTCTTGAGCCACTATAGCCCACTGATTCTCAATCACCTCTTTACTTGGTGATACACCTTCCCTTTGTCATAGGATCATGGATTTAGGCTGGAAAGGGCCTTGGAGGTCATCTCCAAGCAGCTGGGTGGCATAGTAGATAGAGCACTGGCCTTGGAGTCAGGAAGACCTGAGTTCGAATCTTGCCTCAGACACTTAGTAGTTGTGTGATCCTGGGCTAGTCACTTAATGTCGCTCTGTGCCTCAGTTTCTTCATCTGTAAAATGGGGATAATGATAGCACCTACCTTCCAAGGTTGGTATGAAGATCAAAAGATAACCCATGTAGAGCACTTTGCAAACCTTAAGGTGCTATATAAATTCTAGCTATTATCACCATATTTAATCATTATTTTTGTCATTCAGTCATTTCAGTCATGTCTGACTATTCGTGGTTTTCTTGGCAGAGATACTGAAGTAGTTTGCCACTTTCTTCTCCAGTTCATTTTACAGATGTGGAAACTGAGGCAAACAAGACTAAGTGATTCACCCAGGGTCACACAGTTAGTAGGTGTCTGAGGCCAGATTTGCATTCGCAAAGATGAGTCTTCATGACTCCAGGCCCAGCACTCTCTCCACTTGGCCACCTAGCTGCTCCATTATTGTTGATACTTCATTATTATCATCCTTAGCTAGTCCAACCCACTCGTTTTACACAGGAGAAACCTGCTTTCCAGAGAAGTTAAAGGATTTGTCCAAGGTCACACAGGAAGTCAGTGGGAGAACCAGGAATAAACCTGACCTCTGACTCCAAACTCAGTGGACTCTCCAGCGCGCCATGCTGCCTCCCACTACCCTGGACAGAATTAGCAACTCTGATCTCTGACCAGCTTTCCCAACTGAAAACACCTTAACTCTTCACTGTTCCCAAGGGGCCCCAACTACATAAACAGGGCCTGTGGATGCTTCATTTTTTATGGTACGGGGAGGAGGTTCTCATTACCTACATGAGAATCTTGTATCTCATCCTCCTCCCATTCTCATCCCCCAACCTGGTCCTTTCCCCATAGACATTTGTATTCCATCTGGGGAAGCAGCACCAGCCTCAGGAGGCCAGAGTTGGCCGTCCTTGGGGCAAGTGTGACCATTTTCTCTCTAGTTCTCCCACCCAGACCCCCACCTAATTCTTTGGAAAGCTCCCCCAGGGTGCCTTTAAGGAAAACCACTAGGAACAACCCTTTGTAAAGAAACTGTTCCCTCTGAGGGCCAGCTCTTCAAGGCCCTCCTTCCCAGGGAGTGCTCAGGTGAGCTCCACAGGCAGAGCCAGATGGAGTAAAAGGAGGTCATCTTGGGAAACAAGAGAAGGACATCTAAGAACAAGTCTCATTCTAATCAAAGGGGGCCAGGGTCACCAGAGGAGCAGGGGCTTAGACAATAGGGGCGGGAGTGCTAGAAGGAGCCGGACATTCAGGAACTCTACTCCCTCGATCAACATGTCCAAAGTCTGGGAGTAGCAATCTGTTTGCTAGAGCCAATTTCTTCAGAAAAGTGTAGAGAGATGCTTAGGAACCTCCCTCTCTCCCCAAACAGAGAAGGTTTACCCGTAAAAGAAACTACTTTCTTATCAGCACCTCTTCTTCTAAGGGGTTTTATCCTTGCCACATCCTCCTCCCTCTCTCCTGGCCCAATCTTCCTTGGCCCTCCAGCATTATTTGATATAGGCCTACACCAGCCTTGGCCATAAATCATGAGGCTCCAGGGAGGCCCAGAGCAGAGACAGGAACTCAAAGGGGAGGGAAAAGGGGGCCAGCTGTGATATGAAAACGGGCTGAGGGGAAGATTTGGTTTTTAATGCATCTTTGTCCAGGATATACATCTTACTTTAACAGAAGGATGTAGAGAAATAGCCTTCCAAACTAAAGTGTTGTCCCTAGATGCCTGAGACTGAGGTCAGAGGGCATCCAGAAAGTCAACATGCAGCTAAGAATCTCTCAATCTCTCTGTCTCTCCTTCTCTGTCTCTTTCTCTCTCTCCCCCTCCTTCCCTCTCTTTCTCTCTTCCTTCTTCCTTCCCTTTCTCTCTCCCTCTCTCCCTGTTCTCCCCCTCCTTCCCTCTCTCTTTCTCTCTTTCCCTTCTTCCCTCTCTTTCTTTTCTTCCTTCTTCCTTTCCTTTCTCCCTCTCCCCCTTTTCTCCCCCTCCTTCCCTCTCTTTCTCCCTCCTTCCTTCTCTCTCTCCCTTCTTCCTTCCCTTTCTCCCTCTCCCTCTCCTTCCCTCTGAAGTTTCTCCCTCCCCTCGATCTCTCTTGCTTTCCTCCTTCCTTCTCTATCTGCCCCTCCCCCTAATACACACATTCTCATCATTGTCCACAGTAGAAGAATTGACAAGGAGTAAGATCAGAGAGGGCAATCAGCTCGTTTCCTGTCCAGCTCTCAGGTGCTCTGTGGGCTTTAAGCAATAGTCTGATGGCCCCTGGTCCCTGCAGTTATATTCTACCTTGGCTTGGCCACTTTCAGTCAGCTGCGGGGTGCTAGATTTCCCCACAGGATGCAGTCCTTAGTTCCTTAGTGTTTAGACATTTGGGGAGATGGATGGACCGAGTGGGCCTGGGATTATATACATAGCCTTCAGTCTGTACATGTATAACAAACTCATGGATAAAACTCTGCATGTCACTCTCCAGCTTTTGAACCTCTCCCTGTACACCACAGAGGACCCCAAACCTGGATATGTTTCTAGTTGCCACCCCTGAGATCTAGGAACTTCCCCACCCCATCCCTGGCATCCTGCAGTGCTTCTCAGACCAAAGTCATTCATCAGGAACTTGCCTGGGCACATCAGTCTGGAGGAGCCCTTTGCCCTGCTAGGCTCTGGTCAAGGGGATCAAAGTCAGTGAGAGTCAGGGGGTAGTGATGAAAAGAAAAAGAAAAAGAAATATGTAGAGATGTCCACCTAAGAATCAGGGGTCAGGGGCAGCTAGGTGGCACAGTGGATAGAGCACCAACCCTGAACTCAGGAAGACCTGAATTCAAATCCAGCCTCAGACCAAACACTTGACACTTACTAGCTATGTGACCCTGGGCAAGTCACTTAACCCCAATTGCCAAAAAAAAAAAAATCAGGGATCATAAACTAAAATTGTGTCTCATTCAATCCCCTTGTTTTTACAGATGATGAAACTCAGATTAGGTGATGAGCCTATGTTCACTAAAGAAGGAAGTAGCAAATTCAGGATTTGAATTCAGGACTTGATTCCAGGTGGGCCAGCTAGGTGGTGAAATGAATAAAGTGTAGGGCCTGGAATCAGGAAGACTCATCCACATGAGTTCAAATCTGGCCTCAGACACTCACTAGCTGTGTGACCCTGGGCAAGTCACTGTTTGCCTTAGTTTCCTCATCTGTAAAATGAGCTGGAGAAGGAAATGGCAAACCACTCCAGTATCTTTGCCAGGAAAACCCCAAATGAGGTCACGAAGAGTTGGATGTGACTGACCAACACAAAAAAAGCTTGACTCTAAATGCAATGTTCTTTCATGCAGCTTTTTTCTAGGCTCATAGAATGTTAAAAATGGAAGAGACCCTCGAGGTTTTCTAATCCAATTTCTTCACCTTACAGAAGGGGAAACTCAGTTTTAGAGAGTCAAAGTGGTTTGCCCAACCAAGGTCAAAAATAGGGCAGTGGAGCCCAGAATTCCCAAAATCCTTGTCCAGTGTTTTGGGCTGTAAGCCTACTTTAATAGCATAATCTGTATGCAGATGAATGCAAATCACAAAAAATACCACCTCCTTCCCTCCTCTCCCACCCATCCCCACACCCAATTTCCTAGTAATCGATCTGGGGAAGTGTCTCTGCCACACTTCTTGGGTTAGTCAAATCAACAGCAGAACCTACATTGGGCTCCCTGCATCCCAGTGGTCAGGGATGGCTGCCGGCTGGGCCTGCGGGATCTGCTCTACAAAGTCTACGAGATGGCGACCAGAGAAGAGAATCTGATACAACGCAAAGGTGTCCAGGGCTGAGTCTGCTCCTCGTAGGAGGTGAAAGGCAAACTTGCAAAAAACAGACTAAGTGGAGTCAGTCAGGAAGACCTGAGTTCAACACTAGTCAGTAAGTATTTAATAAGTACCTATGAGTGCCAGACAACTGTGCTAAGTGCTAGAGTTCAAATCCAACCTCAGACACTTACTAACTGTGTGACCCTGGGCAAGTCACTTAACCTCTGTCTGCCTCAGTTTCCTCATCTATCAAATGAAGGGGTTGGCTTCTCAATGGATAGAGGAATGGCTAGAGGGAGGGAGAGAATATGGAACTGAAAATATATATATTTTTTAAACGAGAGAGTTAGACTCGGACCTCTGAGTTCCCTTCTAGCTTTAAAGCTAGAATCCCAGGACTGTCATGGTCCTGGGTCCTGGAAACCTTAGCATACAACAAGGCCTGCTTGCTAGTTCCAGACACATATATCATTTTACAACTCTACAGCGGGCACATCATCTGAGTGGGCATTAGGGGCTCCATAGTCACTGCTAATCTCACTGGTCAAA